CCTATTTAGTATTTTGCTTTTTCTTTTCCTTTTTACTTTTTGGGGGTTTGGGGCCACACTGGGTGGTGCTTGGGGCTTACCCGTGGCTCTGCACTCACTCATGGGTCACTCCTGGGGCAGCCCCCAAAGGCCTCCACCCCCCTCTGCTCAGTTCCAGCACGGCAGAGCCTGGGCAGCACCGGGTCCTCGGGTCCTCATGCTGACCCCCGGCCTGGCTGGCTGAGGATCACCTGAAGCGGCTCTGAGGGGGCCCCTAAGCATTGTTCAGGAACCCCCCACCCCAAAAAAGGGGAAGAAGCATTTGTCTCTTTTTGTTTTCTGTTCATTTGGGGGCCATCCCCAGCAGTGCTCAGCGCTGACTCCTGGTGCTCCACTCAGGGGTCACTCCTGGCTGGCTCAGGGGACCCCTGGGGGCCGGGATCCCAACCTGGGTTGGTCACGTGCAAGACAAGCGCTCTCTGCTGCACTGTCGCTCCTGCCCTCGGAAGTGTTTATTTCCCGGTTATTACTTCTGCCTTGGGCTGGAGCGATAGCACAGCAGTAGGGCGTTTGCCTTGCACGCAGCCAGCCCGGCCACACCGGGTTCAATTTTCCGCCCCCTCAGTGAGCCTGGCAAGCTACCGAGAGTATCTCACCCACACGGCAAAGCCTCGCAAGCTCCCCATGATGTATTCGATATGCCAAACACAGTAACATCAAGTCTCACGATGGAGACGTTACTGAGCCTGCTTGAGCAAATTGATGAACATCGGGAGGACAGTGACAGTGACTTCTGCCTTGGGCTCCTCCTGGCACACAGCTGCCTTCCGTTCCCACAGTTCAAAGCAGTCTTGTGTGGTCAGAAAGAATCCCCAGCTCAGTCCTGTCAGGCCACACCCAGGCCCAGACGGCTTTGCCAGGCCCTCTGCTGGGCGTCCCGTGCAGGGTCTCAGGGACAGTCGGCATTCCCGTCACCACAGGGCCCTCCTGGAGACACTCAGGCTCCATTTCCACATGTCTGCCCGCCGCCCTTCTTGTCCTTCTGGTGCCTGCCATTTGCTGCCTTCTGTCGCTGTCTTCATCCCAGGGGCCCACAGGAAGCCAGTCTGTTCCCTCCCGCGGCGGCCTTGTCTGGGTGCCTCATCCATGCGGCCCGTCTCCCTCAGGAGGCTCCCAGAGCCCTGACAGTGTGGCTTTCCCCAGCTTATAAGGCCTGTTGCATGTCACCTGCTACCAGAGGTGCTAGGGGACACACACACACACACACACACACACACACACACACACACACACACACACCATTGATCTGACCGTCGTCCTTAAGAAACTCTTCGTCTAGGGAAGCGATCGCTGGAGGAACACAACCCAAACCCAACTGGTGCCCTCCAGTTTCAGAAGCACAAAACTAAAAAGATGCCTGTTGGCCCCGTGTGCTCACTGCCATGAGAACCCACGTCACGTAGAAAGGGGCTCGCTGGTCTCGTGGCTATGTGCCACGAGAACCCGCCTAACATAGAAAGGGGCTTGCTGGTCCTGTGGGCCATGTGCTCAGTGCCTTGAGAAACAGTGTGTTCCGGGTTGGCACTAGGATGCCATCAGGAGGGAGGGAGACGGAGAGTTCAGGCTCCAAGGGGCTGGACTGCAGGTTGGCCCTGCCCTCCGACTCCGATCCCAGGGGCCTGCTCCCCCAAACCGGGTCAGCTCCTCCAAGCTGGTTTTGAACCTCCAGCTTTGACTCAGCCCCAGTTCAGGCCCCCAGAGTGGCTCCGTGTCAGTGCCCTTTGCCCCTGCAGGCATTTGGGGAGCACCAGTGTGCTCTCCCTTCACCCCCGTCGCCTGTGCCGGCTCAGCCGTCCTGGCTTCTGGTGGCCCCTCTTTGGAGTGTGTCAGGGAAATTCCCTTCTGGCTGGGCAGCCGCCTGCAGTTTCCACAAACTCAGGAGGCCTGGAAGCTGGTCTCCGTGCCCCAGTCCCAGCCCCAGCCTGGGGCTCCACGCTTTCTGAGAAGGCCCATTCCCTATCCGAGAGAAGCATGCGTGAGCAGCCCAGCCAGGGACGTGCCCCCCATCTCAGCTTCCTTCCCCTCGCCCGCCCGTGGGCAGACGGCAGCTCTGGCCCAACTTCTCCTGCCTCTACCCTGGGCCCTGGGCACAGGCACTGCAGCTGCCAGACAGACTCACTGAAGGTGCTTCTGCCATCAGCTGGAGACTGACTCCTAGCCCTGGGCTCCCCTCCGCGGGAGGGAGCACGGCCAGACCCTTGGAGCCAAGAGAATATTTGCGGGTTCTGGCAGAGATGCTGTTTCATGCCCTTTGATCGGGCCCCGTTTCTTTCCACTCATTGCAGGGGACTATTTTGTGGCTGACCGTGTCATTGGGCTGGAGAACATTTCTCCCCGCTTTCGTCCTGTTTTTGTTTTGTTTTTTTCCCTAATGTGGGACAGTGCTTTCCAGTCTCACTTGAATTTAATTTCCCGAGCACTTGGAAGCATGAGTGGCTGACGAGCCTCTGGCTTTCTGCACTTTGTCGTCTGTTGCCATCTGCCTTGCACATGAAAAGCACCCGGGCACTCTGTCCCTTTGCATGCTGGGAGGATGACGCTCACCCTAGAGATACACGGCCACCGTAACCAGGGCAACAGCCGCTGGCCAGGTGGCCAGCGCACAGCAGGGCTGTCGGGCACGCGGTGGGGGTGCCTTGGACCGTCTGTCCAAAAATCATACGCAAATTGTGTTATAAATTCTCGTTTGTGTTTTGGGGAAGTTTTTCAAGGCATCTCAGCCCAAAAGGACTTCTGGCTTTACAAGGGTCTGAATCGATGCCTTGAGATCCTGAAATTGAGCTCGCTTGTTCTACATGGGACTTACCCTGGTGCTGTTGGGTCTTTCACTTGCTTGGGTTGTTTTTAATGTGAGGTACGACACTTTCCGGTGCTGTTAACGGTAGAGCTGCATTGCCCCCCTCCCTGCCGCCCCCTGAGAAACGGTCCTGTAAAATCTGTTTTAAAGCATGCCCATAACTGGATGCTGTTCGACCCTGGTCATCAGATACGGGACTAGTGCGGGTTGCCTCTTCAGCGAGGAGCGCTCTATGGAAATAAAGGGAGACGGAAGAGCGCCACCTAGAGGGCTGATAGTAATTCCCCATTCCCGGCTCTGCCATCCTCCTCCATCAGAGGACTTTGTAACTTTCTCCATTCTTTTTCTGGGAAGCAGGGTGTGTGTGTGTGTGTGTGTGTGTGTGTGTGTGTGTGTGTGTGTGTGTGTCTGTGTGTGTGTCTGTGTGTGTGTCTGTGTGTGTGTCTGTGTGTGTGTCTGTGTGTGTGTCTGTGTGTGTGTCTCATGCCCGGCGATGGTCAGCAATTACTCCTGGCTCTGCACTCAGGAACTACCCCTGGCAGGGTTCAGGGAACCCTGTGGGATGCTGGGGGATCCAACCCGGGTTGGCCATGTGCAAGGCAAATGTCCTCCCCGCTGTACCATCGCTCCAGCCCAATAGTGGACAGTTTTAAAATCCATGTCTTATGTAGAATCTTATTTTTTTGGGGGGAGTGGGACTTTTTTATTATTATTCATGCCATCAGTATATGCATTGTAACACATTTTGACAACTTCTTAGATTATAGGCATGCTTATCAAATTTTGAGAATCTTAGAGTCAAACAAATCTTTTCCCCAACAGTGTTTTGCAGTGCCCTTTAGTGGGAGTACAGTGGCCAGCAGGTGTTTCCCCCACGCCCCCGCTCAGGCTCCTTTGGTCCTGTCAGGGGTGGCCACCCGCGTGCAGACTCTGACGTTGCAGAGGGGAGTCAGGGAGTTGCAGAGCAGTGCGCTGACCCTCCCTTCACAGAGAAGCTGCTCTGTGTGGGATGCATCCTGCCCACGCGGCTGCAGACCCACTTTCTGCAGACTCAGTGGTCAGGGAATGGTATCCTGGGGCGTGACACTGAAGCAGGATGGCCGGGAGCAGCCGTCCGCTCAGGGAAAGGCACTGTGGGGGCCGTGGCGGGGAGCACGTCTGGCGCAGGCACCGCTGATGCAAGCGGGCGTGTGACCAGGGCTCAGGCAGCGCCGTGGTACCCTGCTTGGAGAACGGACTGTAGGCGACTCAGAACACAGCCGGGAGCCTGGGCAGGAGACACAGGGCGGTGGAGGGGGCAAGTCCTAGTGGGATGGCATGTGTGGTGTGGGCTCTCCAGGCCCTGACCCTCAGCCCGTCTTCCCCACCCATAGAGAGGGAAAGATGGAGGTGCTCATCCCAGCTGCACTGGGCACTGTTGGTCGTGGTTGGTGTGCCACCTTCCAGCACCATGAGCCATCTCCCCGACACACATGCGTGTGACAGTGCGGGGACGAGTGCTCCTGAGATAGGATGGCATGTTCCTGGGTTTGAACCCACCACTCGCCTCTGAGGTGGGAGAAAAGGATAAAGAAGCCCAGCGGGGTGAGGGGGGGCAGAGCAATAGTACAGCGGGTAGGACGTTTGCCTTGCACGCAGCCGACCTGGGTTCGATTCCCAGCATCCCATAGGGCCCACTGAGCACCACCAGGAGTGATTCCTGAGTGCAGAGCTAGGAGGAACCCCTGAGTGTGACCCAAAAAGAAAAAAAAAACGAAACAACAAAGAAGCCCAGCGAATGGCAGAGGGTCTCCTGGGGCTCCCCCCACCCGCCTTGAGCCCCTAGCAATCCCGACCCCAAGTGTGGAGAAGAGCTTTGGGGCCCCTCTGCCCGTGGCCCCACCAGTCTGCAGTAACGGCACCCAGAGGAGGGGCTGAGCGTGTCCAGGGCGAACCAAGTCCCTTTGAGGGAGCCCAGCTCTTGGGGGGTCAAATGGGACCACGGCTGATGCCCCCACCTCACTCCCAGATCACCCCTGGGCTTCCCTGCTCAGGCTCGGGGCCGGCCTTCACACACTGCTGCCTCTTTCCGCCTTTGCCCAGTCCCTGCTGGGGGCTGCCAGGGGCCAGGTAAGGGCCGAGGGGCCGTCCCCCAGATCTGAAGGCGGCCCTCGGCCTTTTGCAGAGTGCGAGCACCTGATCCGCCACATGCTGGTCCTGGACCCCAACAAGCGTCTCTCCATGGAGCAGATCTGCAAGCACAAGTGGATGAAGCTCGGGGACACCGACCCCAGCTTCGACAGGGTGAGTGGCGCCTCAGGGAGCTCCCCCGAGACCTGCCAAGGGCCCTTGGGCATCACCAGTCACGCGGTGGCTGGAAGCAAGACCTGCCCAGAGACTGAGGCATCCCGGCCCTGCCCCAAGCCCTGTGCTCCCCCAACCCACCCACCCACCCACCCATGGGCATCTCCTCCTTGTCTCAGTGCTCCCCACGCGGTGGCTCTGCAGTGCTCCTTTTTTTCAGCTGCCGGGGAGCAAGGGGCCCTGGCTTCCGTTCCGTCTCGGTTGCCTGTGCGCGGGCTGTGCTAGCTTTGCTTCTCCTTGTCGCAGCTGATCGCCGAGTGCCAACAGCTCAAGGAAGAGCGGCAGGCGGAGCCCCTGAACGAGGACGTGCTCCTGGCCATGGAGGATATGGGCCTGGACAAGGAGCGGACCGTGCAGGTAGGGCGCCCCGGCCTGCGTCCCTCCGCGCTCCTCCCCGGGGCGCTGAGGTCCCCCTGAGAGGGCCAGGTCTGGCCCCACCGTCCCACCAGGTCTCCCCTCTCTTGCCTTCCCTTGTAGTCACTGAGGTCCGATGCCTACGACCACTACAGCGCCATCTACAGCCTGCTGTGCGACCGCCACAAGAGGCACAAGACCCTGCGCGTGGCCCCGCCCAGCGCGCCCCGCACCATGGCCTTCCCAGCCCCCGTCAGCATGCAGGTGGGGAAGGGCGCTGGGGGCGGGTGGGCAGGCAGACACCACATGGACATCTGACGAGCGTGGCTCCGACAGAGATGATGGAGAGAGATTCCTGTCATTGGGGTGGCAGTGTTGTGTGTGTGTGTGTGTGTGTGTGTGTGTTTCCTATCATTGGGGTGCCAGTGATGGAGTGATGTGTGTGTGTGTGTGTGTGTGGTTTCTGTCATTGGAGTGGTAGTGATGGGTGTGTGTGTGTGTTGTGTGTGGTTCCTGTCATTGGGGTGGCAGTGATGGGTGTGTGTGTGTGTGTGTGTGTGTGTGTGTGTGTGGCTCTTCTCATTGGAGTGGCAGTGATGTGTGTGTGTGTGTCTCCTGTCATTGGGGTGGCAGTGATGTGGGGTGTGTGTGTGTGTGTGTGTGTGGTGCCGGGGACCAGACCCAGGGCTGCCGTCTGTAGGGCACGTGTTCTGCCATGAAGCCGTGTGTCCCCCCCCACCCCATCCCTCTCCCCGTCCCCCTGCGTCTCCCTCTCTCCCTGGCTCTCTCGCTCGCTCTCATCCTTACGAGAGACCGGGCGAAGAAAGCAGCAGCGTCACCACGGCAGGCACTGGATGACTGGCCGGTCGCTCTCCGACGGGCCGGGCGGCAGTGCAGCCGTGTGCTCTCTCTCTGCAGGCGGAGCAGCCCGGCACCGCCATCAACATCAGCGTGCCCCAAGTGCAGCTCATCAACCCCGAGAACCAGATCGTGGAGGCAAGTAGCAGCCCCAGGCGGCACCTCCCTCCCCTGGCCCTGCCCCTCCTAGGCGGGGCGCGGCCCTGACTCGCTGTCTCCCTCCCCTTCAGCCCAACGGCACCGTGAACCTGGACAGTGACGAGGGCGAAGAGCCGTCCCCCGAAGCCCTGGTCCGCTACCTGTCCATGAGGAGGCACACGGTGGGGGTGGCCGACCCTCGGTGAGTGTGGGCCCGCGGCCCTGATCCCACCTCACCACGGCTCCGTGTCCCCCAAAGTCAAGACACCCTCCCAGCACCACTCCCCCAGGCCAGGGTCTGGTCTGTGGCTCCCCGTTTGTGAGGGAAGAGCAAGGCTCCCTCTCGTGGATGCGGCCCATTCGGAATGCTCTGGGGAGGAACAGGGCACTGTGTTTGCCCACCAGGATGGCAGTGCTTTTTTGTTTGTTTTTCCGAGGGAGTGGTGGGTGAGGGTGAAGGGTGTGTATTCAGGCCACTCTTGGCGCCACTCAGGACTCATCCCAGCGGCACTCGGGGCCCATACGTGGTGCTGGGGCTCACGCCAGGGTCAATCCCATGCAAGATCGCATCTTAACCCCCGGTCTCTCTTTCCGGCCCCAGATGTGTCTTCTGATCTAGTCTCTAAAAAGGACCCCCAAAGGCTGTCACCTAGGCCGTTCTCAGAGACATTGTTGCAGCTAGCTCAGGACTCTGTGCTGTGTGACCCGTAGACGTCAGGGCCTGGGTTCCGTGGGCAGCGTCCGGGGCACAAGCACAGGGTTGTGGGAGCAGCCTGGGGTTGCCTCCCGGTGCCTCTCCTGGGACCCGGTGTTCCCACACCTCACTCAGCTCCGGCTCTGCCAGTCCCGCCTCTCCCCGGGGCATTTCTCTGCTGAGGAGGGAAGAGAAGTTTGGACGAGAGGTCTCTCATGGATTCAGTTAGGGGGCAAAGCTGGCATCCTTAGAAGTACCAGCTTGGGGGCCCAGGCTTGTATCTCTGTGGTGCAACACTTGCCTTGCACGTGTGAGAGCTCCTGGGTCCAGTCCCCAGCACCCACATAGCCGCTAGGTCAGCAGATACCTGTTTTCTCTCCCTCTGGGTCCGTGCCGGCACCTCACTGAGCTTCCACTGGCCTGGGCTCAGCATGAACTACAAACCGAGGAGGAAAGCAAAAGATATGGAAAAAATACCAGGGGCCGGAGCACAGTGGGGAGGGCCTCTGCCTTGCACACGGCCGACCTGGGTTCCATCCCCAGCATCCCATCTGGTCCCTTAAGCACCACCAGGAGTGATTCCTGAGTGCAGAGCCAGGAGGAACCCCTGAGCACTGCTGGGGTGACCCAAAAAGAAAAAAAAAAACAGCAAAAATCTCACACCAGTATGTGGGACGAGCCACGTGGCAGGCTTCTGGCTCTGGGCACACAGAGCACAAGCGAGCAGCCCTTGACCCGCTTCTCTGTCGCCAGCACGGAGGTCATGGAAGAGCTGCAGAAGCTCCTGCCGGGCATCCCAGGCACCAGCCCGCAGACGCCCTTCCTGCAGGTGACCCCCAACCTGAACTTCACGCACACGCTGCTGCCCATGCAGCACCTGCAGCCCTCGGGGCAGCTGGAGTACAAGGTAGGGGGCGGGGCAGGCAGGCGGGGACCCCCCCCCCCCCCCAGGCCCGCTGCCCCCAGGGCCCTTCCCTTAGGGACTGTGCTGTCTCTCCCCGCTCCCCCCCCCCCCCAACAAATTCCACAGGAGCAGTCCCTGCTTCAGCCACCCACCCTGCAGCTGCTGAACGGAATGGGCCCCCTGGGCCGGAGGGCGTCCGATGGCGGCGCCAACATCCAACTGCACGCCCAGCAGCTGCTGAAGCGCCCCCGGGGACCCTCCCCACTGGTCACCATGACCCCCGTGAGTACCAGCGGAGCTGTCCAGCCCGCCTCTCTCCTCTTCTCTCTGCTCTGGTTTTCCAGCTTTCATTTTGGCTTCACTTCCCTTTATTTTGGGAGGGGGGGTGCAGGGAATGGTTTTTTCTGTGTGTGTGTGGGGGGGGGGGGGGTTTGCTTTCTCATTTTTGCGGAGGGCCTTTCTAGTGGTTGTCTTAGGGGATCTGGATGCCCGTCCCAGTGAGGCTCAGCCAGCCTGGGCGGCAGTTCACCACACGGGCCCGGGCCCACGGGTGCTCCACGTCAGCAGGGCGCGGGACTGATCAACTTCTTCACTGGGCGGATCCTGCCTGTGCCGGCCCCATACCCGGAGGCTGGCGGCGGGGGGTGCTGTGGGGCAGCTCAGACCTGCCATTGTCCAGCTCTGTGCCTGCGTGGCGGTCGCCCGCTCTCCTGATACCTGCCTCTCCGCTGGCTACTCTCCAGACAGGCTTCCCGGCCGCCTTCTCAGGGGCCCGTCCCTTTGCACATCACGGGTGTCCGGCTCTGCCAGCCCCTATCCCCGTGACAGGAGTGCTCAGGCCCACCTTCTCTGCTCGAGGATCAGAGTCCATCTGCTCTGCTGTTTTCTGGGCCTTTCCTTGTCCAAGGCCTGTCCATTCACGTACTCATTCACGCAGTCTTGCAATTCCGTAGAATGGGGCTGACTCAGTATGTCTGTCTCTTCCTGGGGTTTTAAGGAAGTGCTTCTTCAATGTCTCTCTCACTGATGGGGCTGGAGCAATACCACAGCGGGGAGGGCGTTTGCCTTGCAGGCAGCCGACCCAGGTTTGATTCCCAGCATCCCAGATGGTCCCCCGAGCACCACCAGGAGAAATTCCTGAGTGCAGAGCCAGGAATAACCCCTGTGCATCGCTGGGTGTGATTTTTAAAAAAAAAATATCTCTTGTTAAGACTTGAAGACCATTTTTGGTTTGGGGTTTTTGGGTCCCCCCCCCAAACCCTTCGCTGCTCAGGGATCATTCCTGGTGCTGCTCAGGAGACCATATGGGATGCCGGGGATTGAACCTGGGTTGGCCACATGCAAGGCAAGTGCCTGACTTGATGATATACTATTGCATCAATCCAGTTGAGGACATTTCAGCCCTTTCAACATGGATGAGCATCTTTGTAAAATAGCGTAAATGACTAGAGAAATGAAGAACGTAAGATCAGTCACGGTCACGGTCCTCCCATTGTTCATCGATTTGCTCGAGCGGGCCCAGTAACGTCTCCATCATGAGACTTGTTGTTACTGTGTTTGGCATCTTGAATATGTCATGGGTAGCTTGCCAGGCTTTGCCGTGCGGGCGAGATACTCTCGGTAGCTTGCCGGGCTCTCCGAGAGGGGCGGAGGAATCGAACTCGGGTCGGTCATGTTGGCTGCGTGCAAGGCAAACGCCCTACTGCTGTGCTATCGCTCCAGCCCTAAAAAGATAATAAGGTAAAGGTAAAGGCCCTCCCGTTGATCGTCGATTTGCTCGAGCGGGCCCAGTAACGTCTCCATTGGAGACTTTGTTGTTACTGTGTCTGGCATATCGAATACTCTCGGTAGCTTGCCGGGCTCCCCGAGAGGGGCGGAGGAATCGAACTCGGGTCGGCCATGTTGGCTGCGTGCAAGGCAAATGCCCTACTGCTGTGCTATCGCTCCAGCCCAAGAACATAAGAAACCGACGAAATACAAGGCTGTGCTTCTCTCTGGGGGGACCTTGCAGTGCCGTATTTGAAATCGGTTTCCGTCTTGTTCTCCAGCCCAGAATCGCTGGTTCTGCCCTGGACACGCCCCGTTCTCATTCACCTCAGGCTCGCTCTCACTGTGGCTGGCTTCTCTGGCTGGCAGGGCCCGGGGGCCTGTCACAGTCAGGAGGGCTCCCCGAGCTCAGAGAACGAGTCTGGGCTCTGCCCCCTGCCTCTTCCCTCCCCGTCCCCAGCGCTTCCCTTCACGCGAACCCCCGATTTCCTTGCACCCCATCCTCCTAACCGTCCTGCTTCCGGCCTTGACCTTACGCCCTCACAGAGCAGGCCAGCTCTCCAGCCCAAGTCCTGCGCTGGTCTGTCCCTGATTCCAGCCCCTGGTGACTCACCACGACCCCTCTCCAAAATAAACGTCTGGCTGTGGCGTTCAGGCCGTTCTTGACTGGCCACTGCCTTTCCCTCCTGCGCCCCTGTGGCCACTTCCTGTCTCGCCCACTGCTTCCAGCCTAGTGGAGCTGCCGGTTGGATTCTAGAAACCCTGGAAGCTGGCAGACAATGGAATTCGTCCAAAAAAGTGCATTGTATTTCAGAATTGACAGCTGCTGGGAAAAACAGCAGAAACAGGCCAGTGATAGTACAGCAGGGAGGACATTTGCCTTGCGTGTGGCTGACCCAGGTTCGATCCCCAGCATCCCATGGTGGTCCTCCCAAGCACCACCTGAGCTCAGGGCCAGGAGTAACCCCTGAGCGTCGCTGGGTGTAACCCAAAAAAGCAACAGCAAAATCCCAAAAACCACAAACAGCTCTCCTTCCGTGAGACATCAGGTCTGGTTTTGTTCTGTTGCTTGGCGCGGTGACTGTTGCAGCTGCCGCCCCAGATGGGCCAGACTGGAAAGCGTGGAGTCACATCAGACTTGCAGTCCTGTGTTCTAGAGCCTGGGTTTGATCTCTGGGACCCATAAAACAAAACCGTTTGGCTTTAGGGGAGCTGAAGACTGAATCTAAATCCTGAAGATCACATCATAGTGAGGAATGAGGTTTCTGCTCTGTTTTCAGGCCCTAGGGTGTACCTGCTAGCCTTCTCTTTGCTCTTTACCTAGAGACCCAAAGGCTTGTGACCCCAGGCCCTCTTTATGGGCCAGCTCCTATTCTCCTGTCAAGCCTCGGGCTAGGTGCCACCTCCCCCTCAGGCCAGGCATCCATGGTCCCCGAGACTCACCCCGGCCGTCCTGTGACGGTTTACCTCTCTCCCACCTCTCCACTGGGCTGTAAGCTGAGGGAAGAACTCCGTCTCTCAGCTCACAGGGTCACCCAGGGACAGATTGCCCTGGGGCTGCCTCAGAGGGAGAAATCTAAACTGACCTCCCCCGAGCAAGGTGTGAAAAACAAAGGAAGTGGGAGTCCAGGAAAGGCAGGGGGTGGTTCTGTGGACGCCAGTGGGGCCGAGCACTGGCACCCAGCCCTCCCCACATCCAGCCCCGGGACTCCTGGCCAGCTTGTCCTCTCTTCTCCACAGGCAGTGTCAGCCGTCACCCCTGTGGACGAGGAGAGCTCGGACGGGGAGCCCGACCAGGAGGCCGTGCAGAGGTAATGTGACGTCCGGCAGCGCGTGCGTGGGGGCCCAGGGCAGGCCCCCTGCCGCCAGCAGAAGGTGCCCTGCTCCGGGAGGCAGCGCAGTGCGGCCTCAGCGCTTTGCGGGGTCTCTTGGCTCAAGCCAGGTGGCAGGTTGCTCCCCGTGTGGAAGCCACGGAAGATGACCCAGAAAATGGCGTTTTCTGTGTGCGCCACTGGAACACCCCCCCCCCCCCCCGAGTGACAGCAGTCACCGCTGAGAAGGGTCTCACTCCTCCCTCCTTCCTCCCCTGCCCCCGCCTCCGTGTTGCGACTCTGGTCACGTTCGCCAGGCGCTGAGCCTGCTTCTACCTGCCATGAACTGTTTCCTGAAAAGGAATCGGAGCTTCGGAGCTTTGGGCCGACAGTGCTCCGAGCCGGTCTGGCCCTGGACCTCTGGTGCGACCGCGTCCTTTCCAGGAGAAGGAATACCTCCCTTACCGCTTGCCGTGTGCTTCTGCTGTCCCCTTGTGCCAGCAAAGCTATTGACAAAGGAGCATGGGATTCGGGCCAGGGACAGATGCAGGCGTCCGCGTTTGCAGCGCCTTGTGGAGTGCGGCCTCGTCCTCAGGACAGGGCAGTGACTGCCAGGCGTGCTGTGCTCCTTAGCTCCGTGCCCGTCCCCTCGTGAGAGTGGTCGTTTCTTTTTTCCTGGGGACCGGGTCTGGCCAGAATCCAGCATGGATTCTTCCCAGAAATCCAGGTGCTCTTCAAGACTATGTGTTTTTCTCTTGAGGGAAGTTGAAATAAAAAGGTTTCCAGGGGCTCTTCGGGGAACGTTGGGTGTCTTTACCAAACGGACATTGTGCTGTGAATGGCTGACCTGGGGACACGTCTCCATCCCCCTGAGGACAGTCTTTGGCCCTGTCGAGCCTGCCCGGGCAGCGAGACCTCGTCTTGTGGACCGGCGCACTTACCTCCCCCACCCCGCAGAGCTGCTCAGGAAGAAGCTGTCCCCCTAACCCCCAACAAAGAACAGCGGGAGCAAGAGAAGAGAACTTGGGGCCACTTTCTCTTATCCTCTTGATGCTGCTGTTGCCGTAGTTTGCTGGTAGAGAGTGAATAGGTCCGCGTCTGCACCCCGCTGCTAGCCTGGAGACCTGCTCTCGCCACCATCCCTTTCTTCTCTTGGTCTTGGCCTTGGCCTCTTTCTCCCTACACCCTTCTAGCCGTGTTGTGAGGGCAGGAATGACGCTTCCTGGAGGCCCTGAGGCGGGGTCATGGGAGATGCTTCCCCACAGGGAGGGCCACTCTTGGACAGGCAGGAATCGGGCCTTGAGAGTCCCAGGCCTCACTCCCCCCAAGCGCTTCCAGTCTTGGGATGGCGTCTTCTCTTGCCGTCTGTCCCCGCCCCTCCCTGGCAGTGGTTCCTGACCATCCCACCTACCATCCGTCTTCTTACTTCCTCCGGGGCATGCAGGCCCTGGGGAGAGAACACCTGTGGCATCTCGCTTGTCCCTCTGTGCCTCTCGCCCTGAAGGCGTCCACGGTGCCTCCCGCTCCGCTCGCTCCTCGGGGCTCATCCTGGAGTGTTCTCAGAGCTCCGTTCCTTCAGCTTGGGTTTGGGATGTGGAGGGCAACAGTGGAATAGAAGTAGCCAGTAGACAATGTCTCCCGTCAATTAGCGGATGTCGGGCCTGCGGCTTCTCCGCGTGCTTCTCCCTCTTCTCTTCTGCGGCTCCTCGGCTCCTCGCAGGCCTGGTGTCTGGCGTCTCCGCGGCTGGTGCCCCCCTTGGCCAGCAGGCCCCCCCTCCTCCAGACAGAGATCTGTTCGCCCTTGGTGGGCTCCGGCTCTGCTTCGGTCCGAGCGCTTCGGCTGAACTTCTGACGCTTCTCGTTCCGGACTGTTCCTGGCTGTCTTTTTTTACTATGACATCTGCTCCTGCTTGTTGCAGGTACTTGGCCAATAGGTCCAAAAGACACACGCTGGCCATGACCAGCCCTACAGCTGAGATCGCGCCGGACCTACAGCGGCAGCTGGGACAGCAGCCTTTCCGCTCCCGGGTCTGGCCCGCTCACCTGGTACCCGAGCAGCATCGGTGAGTAGCCACATGGGCTGCCCGAGCTCGTCGCGGCTCACCGGCCAGGCCCCCTTCCCGCCAGGCTGGGCAGCAGCGGGCCCAGCCCTGGGGCTCTCGCTGGCGGCCCACACTCGCATCTTCTCTCCTCTTGGTGCTCAACACTGCGCAGGGCACGGCCTTCTTGCTCCCCGTGACTCTGCAGGCGCCTGTGTGGTCCGCGTGTGATTCTCGCGGCTCTGGATGGTAGCCCCTAGGCCAGGGGGCACTCGCACCCACAAGGAGGGGAAGTTCTCGAAAGGCCAACCCGAGGAGGGGTCAGGGCTGGATCTGTAGATCGGGACTCTGTAGAGTAACGCTTCTAGGGGCGTCTTTCTCCCCTGGTCGGCGCCGTGCGGGGAACTCAGGAGGCCCCTCATCCCTTGGCGACCGGTGGAGCAGAGTTCCTGCACCCTCCTGCTCGTGCGCTTGAGAGGCTGTCCTCGCGATATCCCACCCGCAGAAGCCCACGAGGGCGCTGTGGCATTCATGGCTCATTCTCTTGGGGAGAGGGAAGAAGGTTTGACCCTCCTGGTCAAGCAGACATCACGGAGCTGACTCGCGGTTAGCCCCAGAGCAGAGGCAGTGGCCCTTGGCTCGGTTCAGACGGCGTCTCTGAGCGTACGCTGGTGCCCCAGAGTCTCAGCTCAAGGGCCCCCCGCCTGGAGGACCACCACCCGCGGCCAGAGCCCATTTCACTTCCATCTTCTTTGGAGGACAGGGAAACGCAGGCCCATTTCGAGGCAGTTGAGTGGACGAATATGTAGGTGGCTTGTTTGCACAACCGCCTCCCATGCGATGTGTGGATGGTGTCCAGTTTCCCACTGGCCCTTGAGGGACTCGGCAGCAAAGCAGGCGCGGACTTCATCGGTGCCATGTGGGAACTCTGAAAGCAGAACGTTGAGCTTTGCTCATGGGTGCTGAATGACTTGGTAAAAATAGTCTGTTACGAGTAGCAGAAACTGGCACCCAAGCACTGATGGCACAGCAAACCCTGTCCCTGGGACCACACTGCCTGGGGCCACGTCAGGGCTCCCTCGCCGAACGCAGTTCTGCTACCTGATAGACCATTTAGTACCTGAGTTATCTTTTGTTTCTGTCTTTCCTTCCTTCACAACGGGACACTTTTGCTTTTCAGCCCCTGCTGGGTCTGTTGTGAGCTGAAGCCCCCCAGTGTGTCCTGTTGAATTTCAATTGTTGGGGTCAGGAGCTGATGGGGTCAGGAGGTCCTGATGGTCAGCACAGCTGCACCCGGCCTGTGCCCCAGCCCCTGCGTCCTGTTGCCTGGCCTGAAGGAAGAGCCCCGGTTCTGGAATTTTGTCTACTATCCGTCTTCCCATGAGCGCCCTGGGCTGCGTCGGCAGATGCCGTCTGCGTGGCAGATGGCGCGAGGCGGGAGTTCGGCTTGTCGAGGGGGTCACTGTAAGAACCGAGCAGCAAAGGGAGGAAGGTTGGTCGCCATGGGAAGAGACAAGTGTCCAAGGCCGTAAACGGCGGAAGGCCGGCGCTCTGGAGAGCCTGTTGCATTCCTTTCATTTTCTGGAGAAAACAGTTCAAGGGAAGCCTGTGTCACATAAATGTGGGTCTGTTTTCTGAGAATCACTCCAGTCCGACCCAGGGGCAGAGGCGGGGCAGAGTGACCTCTTCAAACCCTGGAAGTGCATGGCATGAAGTTAAAATTTTTGATTTTTTGAAACATTTTCTCACAGGGGGCCCAAGAGATAATACAGTTTTCCTTGCCCGCTGCTGACCTGGGTTTGATCCCTCTGACCACATCAGATCCCTCGAACCCGCCAGGAGGGGCCCCAGAGCACTGTCGGGTTTGCCCCCTCAACCCCCCCAAACAGCTGTAACATGCTCTCAGAAAGGAGAACAGACCGTGGATCTTTCTAGACGGGAGCCGGTTGCCCGAGTGAGGCTTCGTGCAGGGGGGGGGGACGTGAGGGCCCATGGGGCTCGGCCAGCGTTGGGCACGACCGGTTGTTCATCAACCTGATTGCCGATGTCAGTGCTTGCAGACTCACAGCTCCAGGAGGGCTGTGTCCCTCTGAAGTCGCTGTGCGGGGCTGCCCGGGTGCCGGGCTGCTCGTGGCCTGAGCTTCTTCCCGGAAAGCCGTGAGATCCCCGGACCTGGGCGTCGTGCAGGTAGATGGTCTCCGCCACCTACCGAACGCTGCTTTCTGAATCAGAAATGGGTCCCGCATCAGGAAAACCCTGAGCACGTAAGAAGCAGAGCCTAGGGGCGAGTCGTTCTTGGCCGTAACTCCCGAGCGGAGCTAGAACTCGGGGTGCTATCCGGCGGCAGCGTTCCCGGCACCCCCGTCCCGGGAACGTGTCCGCCCCCTCATCTGTCTCGTGTGCTCGTGCTCATCCCATTAGCTTCCTGCCGCGGGGACGGGGCGCGACCCCTCCCAGCCTCCCCCTCTGCAGTGTCCGAACTCGCTCGCTCACTCACTCACCTGCTTCCGTCCCGAGGGAGGAAGGGGGGCGATGGCCGCCATCTCACCCATAGCCCACGTACCGCCATCTCTGCCGCGTTCGCCTCCCTGGGCTCCCACACGCGTCCTCTGAGCCCCGGGCTCCCCTGGGTGCTCTTGGCGGTGGGTCTGCTCCCTGTCACGGCGCTCCCGACGGGGTGGGTGCTTCCCGCGCAGTGTCCCGTGCAGGCTGTGTCCACCGGGAGCCCCGCCCGGTGACGACTTTCCTTCGGAGGCCGGCAGGGACTGCGCCTCGGGAGGGACCGTCCCCAGGAGGGCAGGTGCGCGCTGAGCCCTCTCCGCTTCCTCGCACCGTCGCTGTAGTTTCCCCCGGTCGCGTGGGGGGTCACTGGCCAGAGAGAGCTGGGGCTCAGCCTGCAGGACTGGTGGGGAAAGGCCCTCGGTAGCGATTAAGAGAGCGAGTGTGCCCACCCGCGCCTGGTAGCTCTGTAAGGACCCCGGGGTATTTGACCCCAGCACCTCACCGGGCCTGGCCACTAGCCCACTCCAGGTAAGCAGAGCTGGGAGTCTGACCCGGAGCCTCTGGAGGGCTGCAGGCTTAGGGGAGTGGCGGGCCGTGTGGCTGGCGGGACCCGGGGATCCCCCGCCCCCACCCAGCCAGCCGCCCACCTGCCCACGTGTCCGTCAGGAGCAGCGGTCCAGCCCCCGGCCTGCCCGCACTGACCTTCCCTTCTCGTGCATTCAGCTCTTCCTACAAGGACTCGAACACGCTGCACCTCCCCACCGAGCGCTTCTCCCCGGTGCGCCGCTTCTCGGACGGGGCTGCCAGCATCCAGGCCTTCAAGGCCCACCTGGAGAAGATCGGCAACAACAGCAGCATCAAGCAGCTGCAGCAGGTACCAGCTCCTGGGCCCCCCGCGCCCGAGCCTTGGCGGTGTGACAGTCCCCCCCCACCATGCGGAGCTGGTGGAGGCTCTCCCCGTGCGGCCGGCTCTGCACCCCTCTCCCCTGCATCAGGCGGCGCCCAAGTCTGTCTCAGCCAGGCTCAGTTTCAGTGGGAAACCCCAGGGAGGGGCTCCCGTGCCCCCGCCCCCGCCATTGGGACTTCTGGGCGCAGGGCCTGGTGGGCGCCTGCGTCAGGCCCAACTGGGGGCGTCTCTGACAGGCACTGGCAGGGCTGGTGCTTCCCTCCCGCCCGCTTCAGCAGTGGCTGTCCCACGGCGGTCCCTCGCTGTCCCTCTGGTCAGGTTCTCTGCAGGGAAACAGAGCTGAGAGTGAGCACCCGCCCCCCATCCCCCCAAAACAGGGCGAATCACTCGCCAGGATGCTGCCCCCCCCCCCCAGTTCTCCCTCTGCTGCCACAGCATGGGGCGGGTCCTGCTACCCTCTCCCTCCCCCCCCTCACCCGCTCTGCCCACAGGAGTGTGAGCAGCTGCAGAAGCTGTACGGGGGGCAGATGGACGAGCGGACCCTGGAGAAGACCCAGCAGCAGCACGTGCTGTACCAGCAGGAGCAGCACCACCAGATCCTCCAGCAGCAGCTCCAGGTGGGCGCTCCGCCTTGGGTGGTCGGCCAGGGCCCCGGTGCTGGTCCCCGCGGGCTCTCTCTTCCCGTCGCCTCCGTCCAGGCTCACCACCGTGTCCCCCCCACCTTTCAGGACTCGATCTGCCCTCCGCAGCCTTCCCCGCCTCTCCAGGCTCCCGGTGAAAGCCAGCCGGCGCTCCTCACCCACCAGCTGCAGAGGTAACGGCACACCGTGCCCGCCGCGGGCGCCGACTCCACCCTGAGTCCCCAGAGAACTGAGCTGGCACGTGAGGGAGTCACTTTCCATGTCAGCGGCTCACCTCGAGCCTGAGCCTGACCTCGGGGCCCTCGCGCTCACAGTGCCCCTGAACCGGGCGGCCTGATCCGTCCTGGGCAGCCTAGGGCCGTGACGCCTGCCCATGGCAACCTGGGAGATCAGACGCCCGGAGGTTTTCCAGAGACTGCCTGTGAGGCACATGTATGTTTTTCTAGCCGGCAACTTATGGACTTTAAAAAAAAAAACCCAAAACCAGTGCCATACTTCCTGCTCCCACATGGCCAAAGCTCATTCTCAAGGCGCCGGAGAGTTAGAACGGTGGGGAGGGGGCTTGTCTCACTCGCGGCTGACCCGGTCTTGGTCCCGGACCCCCCATATGGTCCTTGGAGCCCAGCGGGGGTGATCCCTGAGTTCGGGGCCAGGAGGGAGCAGGAAGTATGGCACTGGTTTTTGTTTTTTGTTCTTTTGTTTTTTGTTTTTAAGCCCTGCCAGGTGTGGCCCAAAGACCAAAACTACCGAGTCAGCAAATAAATAAAGTCGCTTCTCCGTCCCGCTCTCACCTCAGGAAGTCGATGCCTTTGTTGTTGTTTTCAAGGTTACGAATTCAGCCTTCGAGCCCGCCGCCCACCCACCCCAGCAACCACCTCTTCCGGCAGCCCAGTAACAGCCCTCCCCCCATGAGTGGGGCCCTGATCCCCCCTCACGGTGAGTGGGGGCCCCCCGCCGAGCCTGGATGCCGCACGGCAAAGGGAGTCTCCGTCTGGGGTGCGCCGGAAGGCGGAAACCGGTGTTGACAGCAGGTGCCAGTCCCGGGCCCTGCAACCCTGGGACCACCCTCCACCCCCCGTGGAGAGTCACGGAGCCGCCATGGACTTTCTCTTTCTCCGAGGGAAATGGGGAGACCAAGGATATGTTATGCATAGTTACACGTAGCGGCCTCGGGGCAACCACGGGCACGAAGCAGTGCTCGGCCACGGTGGCCAGAGCCCGGACACCGGTCAGCTCTCCAGTGGCCCACGCAGCTGCAGCCTCTCACGGGGCTGTGTGGGTCTCCCGGTGCCTGCATTTGCATCCGCTGAGCCCCTCCCCTCGTCTTCCGACAGCTGCTCAAGGAATAATCCGGCTTCCCGCCAGCCCAGGGGGTCGGCGGCACAGAATCGAGGCCCTGCCCGGTCCCCCAGATGCCTCTCAGAAGCACTGTCCCCCTCCGACCTCCCGTCTGCGCGTCCTTGTGCGTCTTCCCCGGGGCTCGGGTCACGCTGAGCTTCTCTCTCTGCAGGCGCGGCCCCCTCGCAGTTCCCAGGCCTCCCAGCCCGCGGCCCCCTCTACCAGCAGCCCGACACCGGCTCCCCTCCCCCGACCGTGGCTCTCACCTGCCTGGGCCTGCAGCAACCCGCCCCGCCGCAGCAGGTGACCATCCAGGTCCAGGAGCCCGTGGACACGCTCAGCAGCATGCCGGGCAGCGGGGCGGGCCCTGCCGGGCGGGGCCTGTCCATCAACCCCGGGGCCAGCCAGATGCCAGGGCCGCACCGGACCAGCCTGATGGCCTCCTTCAGCTACGGCCACCGACCCTTGTCCAAGCAGCTGAGCGCTGACAGTGCAGAGGCCCACAGGTGAGGCCCCCCGGTGACCGGGTGGCAGGATGCCCCTTGGCAGGGCAGGAGGGGCTCGGGAAGGCTGGAGGGTGCGTCTCCCTGGGCCGGGCCTGTCTGTCCTGCTGGAAAAGTAAGCGGTGGGCTTGGGGGCACCTGAGACCCCCTTCCTTCCTCCCCAGCCTGCTTAGCCGGGGGGATTGGGGCCCCCAGAGCGCCAGGCCCTGCCACCCAGCCACCGCTGGCTGGGCTCTGCTCACAGCCCCCTCGAGCCCCCCGGACGTCTATGCACCCGGGAGGGAGCAGACGCAGCATCGCCGAGGGACAGTCGCGCAGGGTGGGCACATGTGCCGGCTCTCACTCCCTCTCGCCTCCGCAGCTTGAACGGGAGTCGGTTCTCCCCTGCCAACTACGACCAGGCGGCGCACCTCCACCCCCACCTGTTCCCGGACCAGCCCCGGGCCTCCCCCGGCAGCTACAGCCCGTCGGCGGCGGGCGCGGGCCTCCCCCCGCTGGAGCAGCTCCCCGCCTTCCCGCCGGGCCCCCCGCAGCCGCTCTACGCCACCTCGGCCCTGCAGCAGGCCCTGCTGTCCCCCACGCCGCCCGACTACAGCCGGCACCAGCAGGTGCCCCACATCCTGCAGGGACTGCTCTCGCCCCGGCACTCGCTCACCGGCCACTCGGACATCCGGCTGCCGCCCGCGGAGTTCGCGCAGCTCCTGAAGCAGCGGCGGCAGCAGCAGCAGGAGCACCAGGAGCTGCTCAGGCACTTGAACCAGGGGGACGCCGGGCGGCAGACTGTGGCCGAGCGCCAGGCCCTGGCCTACCAGAACGCTGACTCGTACCCCCACCCGCACCCGCACCCCCACAGCAGCCCCCAGCACCTGCTCCAGATCCGGCCGCAGGACTGTCTCTCCCAGGAGTCCCCGCCGCCGCCCGCGCCCCGCGGCTTCGCGCCCACGCTCCTGCCCTCGGAGAGCATGGAGGAGGAGTGCTTCTGCCAGGGCGCCCGGGACGCCTTCCCCAACGCCAAGCCCCCCGGCGCGCTGGCCAAGGGCGGCCACGACAGCCCCCTGCTCTTGAGTACGGGCGGACCTGGGGACCCCGAGTCCCTGCTGGGAACTGTGAGTCACGCGCAGGAACTGGGGATCCACTCTTTCCGGCACCAGCCCGCCGCCGCGGCGTTCAGTAGAAATAAGGTGTCCAGCCGAGGTAAGAGCCCCTGCCACGCCCACGCCCCGGGCCCGGCCGCGCTCCTGCAGTGAGCTCGCTCGCCCGCTCACCCGCTCATCCTTCTGAACGGAATTCCCCCAGAAGGCCCGTGGGAGCTCCCGAGCGAAGGCGTAGGAAGGGTGGGGTGGCAGACCAAGGGTCTGTTTTCAAAATAAAAGATAGCAATGGAAAAACAAACAGACGCTTAGCACAGTCAGCGGGCGGCTAGATGATTCTCTCGTGTTCTCGCCAAGGCTCCTCCGAACCCATCCAACCCGTCCCACCTTGACCGTCACCCCCTGGGCTGAAGCTGACTTCTGCGGTAAAGAACCGTCACCTGCTCCGGGGGCATAGGGTGTAGCTGGGGAGCACCAGCCCGGTGCCAAGCCTGCCCCCTCTTTCTGGTCCTGCCTTCCCCTCCTGATGCCGGAGGAGGCCTTGCCACGGCCAGTCCAGACATGTGTGTCGGGGTCCAGGCACACATGCGTGTGTCTCTGTGTACGTCTCGTGCGTGTGTCTCTGTGTACGTCGTGTGTGTGTGTGTGTGTGTGTGTGTGTGTGTGTGTGTGTGTGGGATGCTTGATAATTCATGAGTCTGAGTTATTTTTCACTCTGCTGCCCTCACGGTCACAGCCTCATCAGGGCCCCCTATCATTCTGTGTCACTGCATAATCATCACTGATGTCATCATTGTCCCCCTGAAGAGAAGGGTGACCGCCACTAAGTTCTACTCAGAAAATGTCTTTCAGTGAACTTAATAGCATTCACCTAGACAAAACCTGGACCAATCCCCCATCATCATCAAGTACGAAATGGGAATTGACCCGTGGGACAGGTGACCAGAGCGTTGCCCCCCGCCCCATCCCCCAGCCCTTTTCCTTGCAGTCAAGCCCCTGAGCGCAGCACCTTGGGGGGGCGCATCAGGTGACCAGCACCTGTTGATGAGGACTCGGTGACCCTCTGCTGGGGGACACTGGATGGTTGTAGGTTTCTGGCAGGCCAGCCACACGAGACAGAGCCTCAGGGGGTGCGGGCTAAGGTGCCACAGCCCACCTCTAGAAGTGTCGGAGGGAGACTTCTCACATCAGAGCACAGAGCCGGCATCAGGATGGAAGTGGCAGCAGACTTGTGTATTTTGGTTTTTACGACACACCCAGCGGTGCTCAGGGCTTCCTCCTGGCTCTGTGCTCAGAGATCCGTCCTGCTGGGGATGGAACTCAGGCCTGCCCAGTCAGAGCAAGCGCCCTGCCCGCTGTGGCAGAGTCCTGCTGCCTCTCAGGCCGGGGCACCAAAAGACCTTTGCGAGAACTTTCCAGAATGGCTCAGCAGGGCAGGCGCTTCCTGTCGCCAGAAGTGATCTCGCCAAGGCGGCCTGCTGTGGGTGTGGAGCTACACTTGGACTTTCTTGTTGGGGTGGGAGGCACCATGCCACCCCCAGATGCAGTCTGACATCCCTCATGACAGCTGGGCTGGGCAGACGGACCCTCATTGTCAGGGTGCGGCCCCCAGTCCGAAACAGTTTCTTGCAGAACTCCCTCCCTTGGCCCGGTCAGGGCCTCTGGACATCAGAGGAAGGCCCGGGGTGGGGCTGGCTGGCACATCCTTGGAGCGAGGCTGAGTGTGGCCTGTTGGGGGGGTGGGGTTCAGAGGAAGAAGAGGAGCAGCCTGGGGAAGGATAGGGTGGTGGGGACTTGCTGTGGAGTGGGGACTGGGGAGAAGGCGGGAAAAGGCTTGGCCAGTGGACCCCAAAGCAGATTCTTCCTCCGACCCCGAGAATGATCTAGAAGCAGTTACAGCCGCCCCGAGCAACAGCCGCATCCCCCCAGGTCAGGTCCATCTTTAAGGCAGCTCTGCTCAGACTCAACAGTGAGGGTTTGGGGGTTCAGCCTCCCTGAGGCTTCTCTGGACGAGCTCCCTCCCACTTCCCCCGCCCCTCCACACACTTCAGAGCACTCTTCTGGCTTCTGGAAGAATCCCACCAGACTAAACCCCAAAATGCATCCGCTCTCGACTCCCCAGCCCTGCTGTCAGCCTCCCCGGCTCGGCCACAGTCTGAGTCCCGCCTCACTGGCCGCTTCTTCCTCTGAGCCGGGCACAGCAGCCCCTGACTCAGCCAGGCCCTCCCGGGCTCGATGCTGTTCCCCATCGCCCGTTTTGTGATCCGGGGGCCACGCACACAGTTACCTCTGGCCACCGTTGTCTGGCGTCTCTTGGTGGGAACGTAGGCGCCAGAGCAGAGAGACGCAGCCGCAGAGACACGTGTGGCCTCGGGAAGCCCACGGCAGCCCCCAGGCTCAGGTCCCTCCACAGCTGGAAGACTGTCCCCATGGGCCGCGCCCCCCAAACCATGTGGCCCCGTAGTTGGGACGTGAGGTCCCCGAGGAGAAGCCGTGGAACCCGTGGGTGCCACCTGCCCGTCTCCCACCCACCCAGGGCCCCGGCTTGGCAGAGGCAGGCCCCACAGTCACGAATCTGTTCTCGAGACACTGGCTAGCCTGTTTCCCCAGGGCCAGAACATGCCCAGCGCGTTGGTGATACAGTGGTGAGCACAGCCGCCTTCCAGAAAGTTCCCAGAGAGTCTGGGCAAGGGTGGGCCTTATGCTGCGCCCCCAACCGTGCAGGCAGATGCGCCTCCAACCCTGCCCCTGGTGTGTCACCAGACAGGGAGGCATGAACGCCTGCTGCCTGCTCCAAAGATACCTCCGGCTCAGGGCCTCAAGACCCGCTGTCCCCTGCTCCCAGGCCAGAGCCTGAAGTGACAAGGCCTCCCGGGCTGGCCCCACGGGTGCCATTCTTCCTCCGACCCCGAGAATGATCTAGAAGCAGCAGCAGCCCTGCTCAGCTGTCTCAGACTCAAGCGAGCAGGGAGAGCCGGTGGCCCCCACAGAGAGTGAAAGGGCATCGTGTGTCTGTCCGGCTGCCCACCACGTCCATAGCTGCTTGCCCTGCCCACACACTGCCACAGGGAGCCCACCCACAGGGCCAGATGGCCCTGTGCCACCAGGGGCCGCCCTGTCTGCCCCCGCAGAGGAGACGTGAGCTTGGTGCGCTCCCAGCAGCGTTACATACACAGGGTTTTTTTCTTTGCTTTGCTTCTCTTTATTTTGTGCTTTTTTGGGGGTCACATCTGACTCTGCACACAGGAATTACTCCTGGCAGTGCTCGGGGGAACCATATGGATGCTGGGAATCAAACCCGTGCAAGGCAAACGCCCTCCCCGCTGTGCTATTGCTCCAGCCACACACACACACGGTTTTTTGGGGGCTTTGCAAGTCAGTGCCCCAGCGGAGCTGGTGTGCATGGCGAAATGAGCACTGGGATGCCCGAGCGATCCCCCAGCCTCCTCCCCGAGCCCCCCAGCTGCCCACAGAGAAGGGGGCCGGGAGGGCAGGCCGAGTGCGCGCCCCTCCAGGCCCTCCGGAGCCCTGTGCTCAGCCTGCCCGCTCCTTCTCCCCAGCCGGTAAATGAGTAAAGACGGGTCAACATTGTAAGTCAACACTTGCGCAAGGCTGTCCGCGTCCCGAGGAGGTGGGCAGTCCCATTGTCTGTTTGTGAACCCCCTGTTCTTCCCGCTCCCCACTCTCCCTCGGTCAATATCCGGAAGCCGCCCCCGCCGCCTCTTTCCCCATTATTTATGTGGCCTTTCCTGTCGTGGGCTGGCCAGCCCCTGGGGCTGCGGAATTGACGTAAAGGACACCCGAGAACCTGGGCACACTTTCACGGCCCCGGGTCAGTCGGTCTCCTCACACCCACGGCTGCCCCAGCCGTGAGTGTCCGGGGTTGGCGTGGGAGGACAGTGGGCAGGGCCGGCAGTCAGCCAGGGTTGATGTCCCGCACCACATCTGGTCCCCCCACGCCTCACCAGGAGTGAGCCCTGAGCACAGCCCGAGTTGACCCCAAACCTAGGGCAAACAACCAAAGAAGAACAAAAAAAAAAAAAATAAAAAACAGAAGCAGTGTCCCGAAGGATCTCTGGACCCAGGGGTCAGTCTTGCCAGAAACCCCTGATTGCTCTATCCCTTCTGGTTTATTAGAAACTCGCGTTATCAGGAACAACCTTCGTTTTTCAAGTAGAGAAACTGAGGCTAGGAAAGATTTCACCGCTGACTCCACCCTGTTAGTTGGAGCCTGATGCAGACTCTCAGATTTCTTCATTTCCCCCCCCACCCCTCTTCCTACTTTCCTTCTCTCCTCCCTCCCTCCCTCCCTCCCTCATCCCTCCTTCCTTCTTCCCTTCCTTCCTTGCTCCCTCCCTCCTTCCCTCCCTTCCTTCTTCCCTCCTGCCTTCCTCTTGCCTACTCTCCTCCTCTCCTCCCTTCCTCCTTTCCTTTTCCTCCCCTCCTCCCTGCCTCTTCATCCCTACTGCCTCTGCTGCAGACCCTCTGAACACAGGTTCCGTGCCAAGACAAGCCCTCCTGGCCCTTTGGCTGAGGCCATTTTTGGCTCAGCCGAGTTCCCAGCACCCCCTCCTACTACCCCTGTTTTCCCCTCAGGTTTGAAAGTCTCACTTGCTCATTAAATGGGAGTCCATTGTCTCTCCAGTCCTGGAAGTCATGATCTTTGTTCCGGACAGTTTTCTGGCCTTGGAGTGACAGTACCGGGGTTCCGATGGTTGTCAATACCAGTTCCATCCCTGAATCCACCTGAGGTCCCTCCTGCACAGTCAGGAGCCGCCCCTGAGCACTGCTGGGTGTGGGTGTGACCCCCCCTCCCCCACTCCGAAAGCAAGATAAAATTCTCAAATCCATTTTCTGGCTGGAGAAAGCACAGGAAGGAAGGCCCTTGCCTTGCATGCAGCCAACCCTGGTTCAGACCCTGGTATGGTATATGGTCCCCTGAGCACCATTGGAGTGATCCTCCAGCATCAACAGGTGTGACCCCTAAGTGCAGAGAGCCAGGACTGGCCCCTGGGCACTTCTGGGTTTAGTCCCCCTCAGGGGAAAAAAATTTTCCTTATTTGCTTTCTTTTTTTTTTTTTTTTTTAAATTTTACTGAATCACCGTGAGATAGTTACAAGCTTTCCTGTTTGGGTTACAATCACACAGTGATCGAACACCCATCCCTCCACCAGTGCACATTCCCCACCACCAGTATCCCCGGTATACACCCCCTTTCCCACCCTCCCCCTGCCTCCGTGGCAGACACGATTCCCCATAATCTCTCTCTGCTTTCGGGCATTATGGTCTGCAACACAGACACCGAGAGACTGAGAGGTTCTCATGTTTGGTCCTTTATCTACTCATGAGCAAAGGGGAGAAAAATTTCCTTGTTTGCTTTTGCCAACAAGCTCAGCGCGCGCAAACTGGAGAATCTCCATCTCCTGGCTGGGCGCTGAGTTCTGGTGCTCAGCACAGACCACCCCTGTCCCCCACCCCCTCTGGAACCTGGGGAGCCCGAAGCTTGGGCCGGGGGACACTCTAGGTCTGGGACTCAGGCAGGCCGCGGGTCGTGGGGTACCTTGAGGCCTGCTGGCATCAGCCCTGAGGGTGGTAGATGAGGGAGCAGGATCTGGGTGACCCTCCCAAGGACCTTGCAAGAGGAGGGGAGGGCTGTGGAGAGGCCGGAGTCTTGGGAACAGAAAGGAATTAAGACTAAATTGCTGGGGCCTGAGCGATAGCACAGCAGGGAGGGCGTTTGCCTTGCATGCTCCCGACCCGGGTTCGATTTCTCCAGCACCGCCAGGAGTAATTCCTGAGTGAATATCCAGAAATAACCCCTGAACATCGCTGGGTGTGACCCAAAAAGAAAAAAACTAAATTGCAGGAAAGAGGGCTGGGGAGGTGGCAGAGAGGTTAGGCCACGGGCTTTTTATGCAGCTGGCTCAGTGCCTTCCCCGGTACCCCCGGGGGTGACCCTAGTGGCCCCGACACCACAGTGCCCCAGGAGCCACATACTCACCAACCGCCTTCTCCCACTGGCCTGAGCAAGAATCATGGGAGTAACCTCCGGTCCCCTGAACACTGCTTGGGAGGGTCCCCTGGCATCAGTCGAGGAAAGGAGTGTCTGTGCATCAAACCCCAGCCCCACACTGAGGCTTCGGGGGTTTGGGTAGAAAGGCATGATCTCAGGGGATGTCCCCATGGCGCGGCACATTCCCTGTGCCGCTGTGGAACTGCAGCATGCAAGGAAGGAAGGCCTTAAACAGGACACTGTGTCTTCAAAGGGACCAGAGGGATGACTGGTGAGACCCCCAAAGGAACTGCACTCAGCAACCCTGGAGTCGAGGCATCCCAACAAAATTAGCTGTCCAAAGTGGCTGCTCGGCAGGCTTCTAGCCAGGCAGACCAGACTCAGGCTGCCCCTTTGGGCCTGCAGGCACCCACTTCCTGTCAGCTGCTTGCTTCCAGCCCAAGGTCCTGGGACAACCTGATGCCAGCTTCTGTTCCCACTGTGAGCTCTCTGCTTGCTGGACTTAGGCAGGGCTTCCCGCCTCGCCTTCTCCGGAAGAGGGACGCGCCTATTTCCTCTGGAACATCCAGCTCCCGTCCATCCCTGGCCCACCCCAGCCCCTGAGCTGGCGCCACCTGGTTCTCGTAAGAGACCATTCAAACAGTCCCGAAGCCCTTCCTCTGTATCCAGATGGACGGGGTGACTGGTGCACCTGGCATTCGGCCTTTGTCCCTGCCGTTACACAACTTTCTGAAAACTTGATCTCACCAAGGAGCAGCTCGTCAGGAAATGAGCCACAGCTGCAAAGCAGTCTGAACTCAGAGAACTGCCCTGGCAAAACCCGTGTGGCTGCTTGGGTCCGGGGCCCCCATCTTCGTGGCTAATGCCCCGTTATTGGGTACCATCCCCCGGCCTCACGGCCCAGGCTCCATGGAACAGCAACCACGTGCTACCAGGAGGACGTTCCCCTTCCTCCCCCATGCCCAGTCCAGAGGGCTGCTGACGGGATAGGAATCCATGTTCAGGGGTGGGGGGGCGTATCTGGGGTGTTCGAGCTCCAGCCCTTTGCGCCATCTCCCCACCTGAGATGAGAGGCTTTTTTTCCCCCATATTTATTGTGATCTGCGGATCAGACCCAGTTCTCAGGCATGTGCTGTGCTCCTGAGCTGCACCCCAACCCTCTAACCCCGAATTAGGGCACCCGTGGGTCAGGCAGAGACTGTCTCAGGCACCCTCAGGGCACCCATGAGTGTCAGGCAGAGACAGTGTCAGACACAGGCGTAGACGGTTTTGAAGTCCAGAGGCATCGGTCCTGCAGCTGAGACGGAACTTGGAGGAACAGTCGCGTCATCCGAACACAGTCAAATGTGGTGCTGAGCTAACAGCATCATCGGGGCCACCGAAGCCTCCTGACGTCTGAACTAGACAAGCTGTTTCCACCCGAGAGGGGAGGTTCCTGAGCATGGACACAGGAGGTGGTCGGAAGGCTGAACTCAGTGGCCTGGGGTCCCCCGCTCCCAGAGCTGAGGATGGCAGGGCGGGGGCGAGAGTGGTAGGAAGTCGAGGTTGGCAGGGAGGCTGGTGGCTGTGGAAGGACAAAGCTGGTTTGGGGCCACTCCCAGCAGTGCTCACTCCTCCCTCCTTGGCTGGGCTCGGGGCCTTATCCGGGTCAGCCACGTTCAAGGCAAGGACTACCCTGCGGTGCTATCTCTCCATCCCCTACGGGTAGATGTGGCGGGTCACAGTGGCCGTGACAGAAGCACCAGCTGTCAGGTTCCATGGAAGCAGCGGGGTTGGAAAGGAAGCGTCCCGGCAGGCCCAACTTCCCCCAGCTTGAGTTTTGTTATTTGGGGGCCACACGCAGTGATGTCCAGGGCCTGCTCCTGGCTCTGTGCTCAGGGGACCCTATGGGGAGCTGGGGTTCGAACCTGGCCGGTGGCATACAAGACAAATACCTTCCCCGATGCCGCTCTGATCCAGCCCAGGTCGACTCTTTAGGCTTCAAGGCGATGATGGGACCCGGGAGTAAGGAATAACGGGGTTCCTTAATTGCTCCTGGGCTGGAGCGATGGCACAGCGGTAGGGCGTTTGCCTTGCGTGTGGCCGGTCGGCCGAGCCGGGTTCGATTCCTCCGCGATTCCTCCGCCCCTCTCGGAGAGCCTGGCAAGCTACCCGTGACGTATTCGAAATGCCAAACACAGTAACAAAGAGTCTCACGATGGAGACGTTACTGGGCCCGCTCGAGCAATCGATGAACAACGGGAGGACAGTGCTTTGGACAGTGCAAAGAGCTCCTGCCGGTTAGGGAACTCGGAAGGAAGCTGCTGTGTCCAGGGTTTTGCCCGTCCGTGGCATTAGCTCCACAGAGGAGAGCTGGCACGCTGGACGGGAAGCGGAACCCGACGTGCCAGCCGTATTTCACTCAGCAGAGGAGTGTGCCAGAGAGAGGGGGCAGCGGGAGCGAAGGGCGGGGAGGGGGTGCCCGGAAGCTCCTCCCTGGGGCCTCAGCACGGCCCGCAGAGCCCCGAGCTCAGCAAAGGCACGTGCCATGGGGGTGCCGGGGGATGCGTGTCGGGGTGGGGGTGGGCTTGGAAGCGGCAGGCCCACCCCCCTTGGGAGATGGTTGGCATCTGACCCTTCCGCTCTCTCCCCAGAGTCCATCCTGGGGGACTGCATGGAGAGAAGAGGCCCCGGCCAGGCCATGGAGCTGCCGGAGCCTGACGGGCCGGGCTACCACCCGCACGGCAGCGCCAGCGAGCCACCGCGGCCCCGCGCGCTGCAGAGACACCACACGATCCAGAACAGCGACGACGCCTACGTGAGTCCACGCCACGCGCGGCCACGGCTGCGACCCCACCCCACTCCCCCTCCAGAACCCAACCCGCGGCCCGCTGACCAACCAACCAGCACCCCCGCCGTCCTGCAGAGCACCCCATCTCAGATGAGCCCCCCGCCCCGTACCACGACCACCCCCCCCCCCCCCCCGCAGCGCCTGCGGTTAAGTTTGTCCCCAGTTGGGACTCGAGACTTGTTGGCGCCCCTGAAACTTGGGGCAAGGGCGCCCGGCTCTGTGACGCTGATTTTCCCGGGGAGGGTGCAGCCACGCACCATGCAGGGTGGCCCCGCCATCCTGTCCTGGGGGGTGCGGCCTCACCCCCGACCCCCCTGTATTCCCCACAGGTGCAGCTGGAGACGCTGTCGGGCATGAGCCTAGTGGCGGGCAAGGCACTGAGCTCCGCCCGCATGGCCGACGCGGTCCTCAGCCAGTCCTCGCTCATGGGGAGCCAACAGCTCCAGGAAGGGGTCGCCGCAGGTGAGGGGCGCCCTCCCGCCCCGGGGACTGAAAAGCAATGGAGAGGCAAGGGAGGGGGCATCTGGGCACTGCCGCCCCACGAGCTCTCCCCCGTATGGGCACAGCGCAGGCGCCCTGGGCTGGGCGTGGGGAAGGGGGGTACAGACCCGCCTAGGCACGAAGCAAGAGCCCCCGCAGGCCCCATCAGCAGGCTGGTATCCACAGCCAGCGAGCGGAGACGGCAGCACAGGGCTGGGCGCTTCCTGCAGCCAGTGGGGGGGTTTCGCCTTGATGGGGGGAGAGTAAAGGAAATGAGGCTCCAGGAGAAGGGGGAGTCTGGCGTGGGCCCCACCCGGGCCACTCCTTCTCCCCCTCATCCACCTGCCCCTCCCCCCCACCCCCCGCACCGCTCCCATCTTGGTCTTCCCCTCTGCAGAATGCCGGGACCGCCCCGGAGGCCCTGAGCTCCCCGACCTGCCAGAGGGCAGCCAGCACCTGAACCCCTGCTACCCCTCCACGTGCCTCAGTGGCATCCTGCTTAGCTACAAGCACCCCGAGGTCTCCTTCAGCATGGAGCAGGCCGGCGTGTGACAGGGTGAGTGATGCCCGCCCTTGCCACCCCCTGGGCGTGCGGCGGGGAAGATGCCTCCAGAAACCAGGCTGGCCTTTGGCTGCCCTGCGGGGACCAGACACGCACACAGCCTGAGAACAGGCTGTGTCAGAGGCAGACGATGATCAACGAACTCCCGAGGACCAGGGCTGCGGTGCAGGCCATCAGGAGGAGGGGTGGGACCCAGCCAGGAAACGCATGTCGTCCCTGTCTGTGCAGTCCCCATCTGTCTGTCTGTCTGTCTGTCTGTCTGTCTGTCGACAGCAGTGTGTTCCGGCCAGCGAGGGTAGCACAGCTGCATGACATGACGGGGCTCACCCCTCAACACAGTGGGGAGCTGGGGTCTGTGGACCTTTAACCTGGCCGTCCACATTCGAGCCTCAGTGGGACAAATGTGCTGAAGCACCGATGGTGGGGCCGGTGTGATAGTTCAGTGGGCAGAGCACTGGCCTTGCAAAGGGGTGACCAGTCAGTCCCTGGCACCCCACACCCCACCCAGAGCACCACCAGGAGGGATTCCTGAGTGCAGAGCCAGGAGTAACCTGCGAGCATCTCTGGACATGGTCTGAAAGCCAAAAAACAAATAACAAAAAAGTTTGTGTTTTTTTTTTTGGGGGGGGGTCACACCTGGCAATGCACAGGGGTTACTCCTGGTAGTGCTCAGGGGACTATATGGGATGCCGAGGATTGAATCTGGGTCGGCCACGTGCAAGGCAAACGCCCTTCCCTCTGTACGATTGCTCCAGCCCCAAATAAAGAATTTTTTAAAAAGTGAAATAAACCGCCCGAGACAGAGTGACCCCACTGCTTTAAAGGAAAAAAACCTCCAAGGGGCCAGAGAGATAGTGCAGCAGGCAAGGCACTTGCCTCACACACCACCGACTGGGGCTCCATGCCCGGCGTCCCCTAGGGGCCCCCAAGCACTGCCAGGAGTGATGCCCGAGTGCAGAGCCAGGAGTCAGCCCTGAGTACCGCTAGGTGTGGCCACAAAACCAAAAAGAATTTTTTTTTTAAAAAGGGAAAAAAAAGAAAACGAAAAAGCGGCAGGAAAAACTGAGTGTCCGTCCCCTGTCCACTCCGTTGCAGGTGCGTCCATCTGGCTCGGGATCGGGGCACTGGCTGGAGCACCACAGTATCGCCACATCGCGCCAAACCGCCGCGTGTTTCTCTCCTCCCACGAGACCCCGGCCCCACCCTCACCTCTGGCTCCTTGCTCGCTGTTCTTTGGGGCGCTGTGGGGGGAGGGGGGCTGCCGTGTCCATCTCTATGACCACGTCACCCAGGAAGTCAGCAGCACGTCCACGGTGACCCCTTCCGTGAACGCCCGTTTCGGTGGATGGCTTTGGGACGGGGGGCGGTCTCGGGTCGGGGTACGCTTTCTTCCTGGAGGTTTCCCTTCTTCCCTTCCCCTTTGCGAAACAACAGAGAAGATCGTTATAGGCACCCAGGGACCAGAGGCACCCCCGCCTCCGGCCCCCATGAGCCCACCAGCCGTGCCCCCCGCTCTGCCGCCCCTCTTCCCGGGGCAAGAGTAAACCCAGACCAACCCGAGCCTGGAACTTGGGGAGGCCGTTACTGCTGGACCCAACACCTCAGCGGCCCAGCCGAGGTCCCAGAAGAACCAGACCCCGGCCACCGTGACAGTAACTCGGGTCCTTCCAAACCATCCTGCTGCTTCTTCCCCGCCCGCCCCCCCATCCTGGCGTGGCTTTCCTCGTCCTCTGATACTCCAGAAGTGTGTCCCCACGTACCTCGAGAGAGGGAGGGGGGTGGGCCCCCTCACCGGCATCTCTGCCTCCGTTTTCTCTTCTGCCTCTTGGCCACCACGGGCAAGAACAGGGGTCCACCCAGCCTCTTCTTCCTCCCTGGACCTCCTCAGCCCACCCACCCGCCCCCCCCCCATTTTAATTCATCATAATACAAAATATTTTGGGTAAATGTTGCTAGGATTGTTCTTCTCATGAAATAAAAGCAAACGGAATTTTTGTTGGACAGAGCCATGGTTCATCAGCTCATTCACAGTGGGGAGTGTGACCCGCGCCTTCCACTCCAAAGGTTTTTATTTAGACGTTGTCATTGTGCCCAGTTCTCGCTTGTGCCGATAACAGGCCTCGTGGCCCCTTCGCCCCTGCAGACCCAGCACGAACTTCCCTTCCCGTCACCTGTTAGAAACCAAAGTCTTCTCTGCGGGGGCCGGGGGCGGTGGCAGGTCTGGATTCTCTCCCTCGGATCTTCAAAAGAGGAAAGATGGGAAAAAGTTCCGCTCGAGGTTCTTTTCCCAGGGAGAGGAGAGCAAAGGTCCCCCCGCCCCTCCTGGTCCCTGGTCGTGAATTTGCACAGAGGAAGGAGGACCCCGTGTGGCCTCCCCCAGGCAGCTCACCCGGATTCCTGAGTGGATTCCTGCCGTGCAAGAGCCTTTCTCGGGATCTGGCCCAACTTCCCAAGGTCCCCGACTCCCTCCCACTTGGGGGACCCCCAACAGCTCAGCCGCCGAAGGAGGCTATCAAGGAAACCCTGACCGCAACTGTTGACTTCTCTGGGCGCCTGCTGACCCCAAACCCCACCTCTACCCTGACTGCCCCCCGCCACCGCGCACCACCTGTCCCGTTGATGTGGTACTGTACTTCCGGAAGCGCCCATCACCCCCACCTCAGCGACACCCCGACGAAAGCCAGTGAGCCTCCGAACCGTGCCATCCTGCGAGCCAGTTGTGAGAAGTTCATTGCTTTGTATTGTAGTACCAATATGCGCAGTATATGTTGAATGTACATGAATATACTTTGCTATTTCTGTTCTCTGAAAATGTCAGAAGTATTTTTCTTTCTTTCTCATCTATGTTGAACTGAAAAAAGGATTAAAAAAAAAAACACCAAAAAAGTCAGATTCACGTTGCCATCAGACCTTGAGTCTTTGTGGACAGTCACACATGAGTTAGACGTGGCGGTGGGGCCTGTGGGCAGAAGACCACGGCTTCGTCTCACGTAGCCTCTGGGCCTGTCTCACCAGCCACGGCACTTCCAGGAGCCGGGTCAGCTCCCTCTGCTCGCAGCACCCAGTGTGCACCCCACATGCACTCGACACCCACATGTATCCCCACGTGCACCCCGGCACCCAGCACGCTTTTCGCCTCTCAGAAGGGCTCATTCGTGTTGACTGAGTCGGGTGGGAAGGAAGAGGCCCATTTGTTTGGGCTTTCAATTATTTTCCTCCTCGGGGCTGGAGCAATAGTGCGGCAGGTAGGGTGTTTGCCTTGAATGCAGCTGGCTGACCCGGGTTCAATCCCTGGCCTCCCATATGGTCCCCTGAGCACTGCCAGAAGTAATTCCTGAGTGCAGAGCCAGGAGTGATCCCTGAGCACCAGTGGGTGGTGACCCAAAACGAAAAAAAAAATTATTCTCCTTCTCAGTGTTTCTCAACCAGAGGCCCTCGGTTCCCCCCTTTGAGGTCCTCCAAATATTCCAAGGGATCACAGGTTGGAAAATGGCATAAGTGTGGGAGGGGGGAGGCGCAGGAGGAAAACAAGCTTGGAAGGAAGTGGGGCCATGGTCAGAAACACAGGGGAGGGTGGCCTGCTGGCCAGCGTCTGCGTGTCTGGCCTCTGCGGTCACTGCACCCCACCACCACTGTCCTTAGGCCAGGCCAGTCTCCCCTTCACCCCGCTGCTGCCGCTCGCCTCTGGCTTGTGACCCGAGGCTGCTTTGAGGAGCAGGGGCTGAGTCTCTTCTGGTGCCTGCATCCCACCATCTGAACCCCAGTAAGGAGTGGATGGGGCGAGACTTTTCCCATCCTCTTCCTCCAATTCCATCCCAGTTCTCTGAGAGCAGGTGCAGGGGACGTACCCGAGGCAGGAGGGCCCGACAGGGGGAGGAAAGTTCATGTTGGAGGTGTGGTGAAGGGGGACTCCTGTGGGCCTGCTTAGAATAGAGAACCTTCTCCAGGGGGTCTTCTTAGTTTGCTTTTTTGGGTCACACCCGGCGATGCTCAGGGGTTACTCCTGGCTCTGTGCTCAGGAATTACTCCTGGCTTTTAATTATTTAAAACAATTAATTTTATTCAATTAAAATCTCACGGGGGTGCCGGGGATCGAACCCAGGTCAGCCGCGTGCAAGGCAAGTGCCTTACTTGCTGTAGTGTTGCTCTGGCTACTCCAGAGGGTTCTCCTGAGGCAGCCCAAGTGTTGTCACTGGCCAGGAAGCCCCGGGTGCCACCTACATGCCCTTCCAGCAGCCTGGCCCGAGCTTTTGCCAGAGGCTCCGCTCCCTGCTGAAGTCAGCTCGCCTGTCTGTCTGGCAGGAGTGAGCTTCAAGGAATCAGATGAGTGCAGGGAGGTGGGGGGTCTGCGGCTGCCACTCCTGCCCACCCCGGCCTAGTCCAGCTACAGGAACCAGAATTTGGAAGATGGGCGCGCCTCCCTGGGAGCCAGACTCCCGTCGACATGAGTGGGAGCCCGGGATTGAGCCCAGGGCCAGGCCAGGCTTGCGGTTGGCTTCTGAACTCCTGTTCCACCCCTGCACCTTGTCTGCAGGTGGGCGTCACATCTGATCAGTCACGATTGATGCCTTTGACTGGAAGGCAAGACTTCCGGTCACAGCCGGACAGGAAGGAGGGCATCTCCCTTCTTCCCGCTACAAGTCCCCTCCTCTGCGGTCCGTGGACTCCGTCGCAGAAGAAGCCGAGCATGATCAGGACACGGAGCCCAGTGGTCAGCAGACCCTGGGGACCCTTCCTGGAGTGTGCCCGTGCCGTGCTTTGAGCAAATATCTGTGCAGTGTCTGTCAGGTGACAGGCCCCGCAGGGGACAGAGTCCTTCAGAAGAAGTGCCCTGCTAGCACAGCGCTGGACATACATTGTGAAATGAACCGCAATTCTCTCTGAGCAGCTGTGCCCACGGGCCTCGAGCCACGCTTCTGACTGGCCGCGGGAGTCGGGGCTGGGTGGGCTAGCTCAGAAGCCTCCTTCCAGAGACCCATTTTCGGGATGAGAATGAAGGGCTTATGAGCGATGATGGTGGCCTTGGCAGCCACAGAACAGTGAGTCCAGTCCATGGCCCTCGGTGCTCTGGTGGGGCCTGGCAGGACCCACGTAGATGCGCTCTGTGTGTGGTCAGAGGTGGGCTCCCCTTGGCCTCCATCCAGAAAAGCCCACTCTGTCTCCCCAGTATTGTAACGGCATCCCGGGTCACTCAAGTCAAGGTTCTTATTATATATATATATTTTTTTTTATTTGGGGTGGGAGGCACACCAGGCAGTGCTCAGGTTACTCCTGGCTCTGTGCTCAGGGATCCCTCCTGGCAGAGCACAGGGGACCATATTAGCATGCCAGGGATCAAACCCAGGTCGGGTCGGCCACTGGCAAGGCCAGAGCACTACCTGCCGTGCTGTTGCTCCGGCCCAGCTCTTGCAATGACACACAGCAGACCCCGCAGTGGGGAAGGATGCAGAAAGGGTCCTCCCTGCAGACTGAGATGCAGAACAGCACTTCCTGGGCCCCTCCATGCCTAGACATCCCCACCGGAAGCAAACAGGTGTGACCTTCATTGAACAGGTGGCAACGGGGTGAGGACTTTCTAGAACTTGCCCAGGGCCAGGCAAGCCACTCTGCTGGTCTGGCAGCGGCCAAAGGGGGGCCCAGAGTGCTGGGGAATTTCCTGGATCAATGGTGCTGGCACACATCTGCGGCAGAGCCAAGTGCAAAGACCTCGACTTCAAGGCCAGCCTGCCCGGGAGACCAGCGACCGTGGGCAGATGCCCCCCTCACCATCAGCTTCACTGTCCTCTGGACGATGGCGGCCAGGGCGGAAGCAGTCGCTGACCTCCACGTTCTCAGCCTGAACATTCTGGGGTGCTTGAGACTCAGAGCTCCACCCTCTCCTAGACTTGGCGAGTGAGAGGCTAAATGAAATGAAAACTCGGGTCTCCCACCTACCTGCCTGCTCCAAGCCTTTATACCCCCCCACCTCCTACCCTACATGGACCCTCAAGGCCTTGCCTCCGTTTTCACTTCCGGGAGGCCCACGCACAAAGCCCCCGGACACATAGGCGTCCAGGGCAGCGCCATGTCTTTTTTTTTTTTTTTTTAATTTTATTGAATCACCACTGTTCTTCCTGCATTAACATATGCCTCAGAGACCTGGGCCCTACGCAAACAAGATGAGAACGCTATTCAGGTCTCCCAAAGAAGAATAGAAAGAGCTATGCTTGGAATATCACGTTTCACTCAAATGAGAGAGAGAATCCGGAGTTCTGACATCCATCGACAATCAAGAATCAGGGACGCTGTCTCATTTGCCAAGGTGTCGAAAATCAGATGGGCTGGTCACGTAATGAGATTTAAAGACGACCGCTGGACTAGAGCTGCTACTGATTGGATTCCACGGGATATCAAAAGACCGTGTGGCCGCCCACCTACCAGATGGTCAGACTTCTTCGTCAAGATCATGAACGATCGGTTTGAGGCCCTTCATGTTCCCAGAGCGAACAGATGCCATTGGGCTACACTAGCACGTGACAAGGACAAATGGAGATGTTACTGGCATCCGCTCAAGCAAATCGATGATCAACGGGAAGTTAAGTGATTAAGTGATTAAGTGAATCACCATGAGATAGTTACAAGCTTTCATGTCTGAGTTAAAATCACTGTAGCACTGTCCTCCCGTTGTTCATCAACTTGCTCGAGCGGGCACCAGTAATATCTCACAACAAATTGTGAGACCTGTTGTTACTGTTTTTGGCATACTGAATATGTCACGGGGAGCTTGCCAGGCTTTGCCGTGCGGGTGAGATACTCTCAGTAGCTTGCCGGGCTCTCCGAGAGGGGCGGAGGAATCGAACCAAGGTTGGCTGCATGCAAGGCAAACGCCCTACCCACTGTGCTATCACTCCATACAATGATCAAACACGCATCCCTCCACCAGTGCACGTTCCCCACCCCCAATATCCCCGGTATACCCCCCTTTCCCACCCTCCCCCTGCCCCCATGGCAGACAATATTCCCGAGCCACCATATGGGTCTTTTATTCCAAAGCCACAGTGCCCTTTTTGGTGTTAAATGTTAAATACTTGGTTCATGTTAAGTACCCGGTTCCTAACTGAAGGGCTGGTAGACGGTCGTGGTGATATTTTTAGACGGCAGTATTAGAAGTTGGCAAGCCCCCGTTGGAGCTCTCGAATGTGTTCTGAAATGCAGCCTCTGCAACTGTGGAGTTGGGAGGCCACCAGCGGCCTGGACGTCAAGTCTAGGGACCGGGAATGGGGAGGGTTTGCAAGGGTCCATGCAAAGGTGGTGGTGGGGGGGGGGGGTTGTGGGAGGATCCTGGGCGGGGCCGGGGTGCAAACTGACTGGAATGCGGAGGACGGGCTGCAGGGAGGAAGGCCCTCCAGCAGGAAAGGGTGGCCAGCCTCTCTCGCTTCCTCCCCTCCAAAGCCCCCACTAGCCTCTGTGGACGCTAGCAGGTGTCACGGTCAAGCGGAACAAGAAGGGCCCCGGGACAGCCGCCCCAGCCTGGCCCCGAGAGCTTGCACCACCCCTCCGCCCCCGCCTGAACCCTTGACCCCTGTCCCCACAGGCCAGGCACCTTCCTGTTTGCCCACTCTGTTTGCCCGGCCAGCCGGGGACAGTGCTGATCCTTGAACTCTAAGTGCCCACCCACCCCCGACCCCTGGCCAGGACCAGTGAGCTTCAGTGAGGCCTGGCCCGGCCCTGTGGCCTCCCAGCCCGCTCCTGTCTGCAGGCATAAATAGGCCCCCTGGGAGCAGGAGCTCACTCAGAGACCCGAGACGCTGAGCACTGCAGGTAAGAACTGCTCCCGGCCAGGAGCCTGTGCGAGCCCGGCTCTGGGGGGCAGGGGGATCTGACAAGGGGTCTCCAGGGCCAGGCCACTCAGCCAAGCCCCTCACTGTCTAGGTCACTGCGTCAGAATGAAAGCTGTAGTGCTGACCTTAGCTGTGCTCTTCCTCACGGGTAGGTGACGCCCCCAACCAGAGCTCCTCGGAGGGGGTGGGGGGCAGGGCTGCTTCCTAAATCCCAGGAGGATGGGGCGGGGGGGGGGGGCTGGCCTGAGCTGCTCTGTCCGTCCCTGCCCCCAGGGAGCCAGGCACGCCATCTCCTGCAGCTCGATGACGCCCAGAGCTATTGGGACCGCTTCCGGGACCTGGCTGGGGTCTACGCCGAGTCCCTCAAGGACACCAGCAGAGACCAAGTGGCCCAGCTGGAGGCGTCTGGCTTGGCCAAGCAGCTCAAGTAAGAGGCGTCTGGGCTGTCTCGGGTGGGGACTGCTGGCTGGAAGTGGGGCCACAGGGGCGCGGGAAGGGCGGCTGGCCCACACCTGCTCTTTGATGCCCCCAGAAATCTAGATGGAGAAACAGCAATAACCCCCTCCCCCACCCCGCCCACAGGGTCCCCCTCAGCACCTCCTTCTCCAGGGCCAGGGGTGACTGTCTTCCGAGAGGAGACAGGGACAGGAGCACAGAGGGAGAGGCTTTAAAAGCTCCCCCACCCCCGCACCCCGCTCCATGGGCCAGAGCAAAAGCACAGCGGGCAGGGTGTTTGCCTGGCGGGCGGCCAACCCGGGTTCGGGTTTGATTCCCCAGCATCCCGCCATGGTCCTCAGCCCACCAGGAGTGATTCCCGAGTTGCAGAGCCAGGAGTAACCCCAAACCAAAATCAAACAAAGGGCCCCGCTCTGTGTTCAGGCAAGACCCAGCACCCACCCCCAACCCCTGGCACCAGGGAACCAACCCCCTGGCAGCCCAGATGGTGGGCCACGGGGTGGGGGGGGAGAGGGGGAATAACCTCCGCGTCCCCGCCTCTCCCTGTCCCAGCCTGAAGCTCCTAGACAACTTCGACACCATGAGCAGCAGCCTGGGCAAGCTGCAGGAGCAGGTGAGCCCCGTGGCCCAGGAGCTGCTGAGCACCCTGGAGAAGGAGACGGCGGACCTCAGGGCGTCGGTGAACAAGGACCTGGACCTAGTGAAGGAGAAGGTGCAGCCGTACCTGGAAGAGTTCCAGAAGAAGGTGCAGGAGGAGGTGGAGGTGTACCGCCAGAAGGTGGAGCCCATCAACGCCGAGCTGCGCGAGGGCACGCGCCAGAAGCTGCAGGAGTGGCAGGCCAAGCTGGTGCCCGTGGGCGAGAATTTGCGCGACCGCCTGCGCGCCCAGGTGGAGGCGCTGCGCCTGCAGCTGGGGCCCTACAGCGACGACTTGCGCAGGGCCGTGGTGCAGCGCATGGAGGCCCTCAAGGAGAACAGCGGCGCCCTGGCCGACTACCACACCAAGGCCAGTGAGCAGCTGAGCGCGCTGCGCGACAGGACCAAGCCCGCGCTGGACGATCTGATGGTGGGCCTCCTGCCCGTGTGGGAGAACATCAAGTCCAGCGCCGCGGTCGCCTGGGACCAGGTCCACAAGCAGCTCGAGAGCCAGTGAGCGCCTGCGGCCCGGCCCCCTGTCCGAGAATAAAGATTTCCAAAAAGGGACACGGCTGGCTTCTTCTTTGTGGAAGGGCTGGGGGGATGGGGGTTTCTCGCTGCGCGACATGGGGCCATCTGCTAGTCAGTGCCTTGTCTATGGGGGTCTCTCAGGGGCCTGAATGTTCCACATCAATGGTCCCTGCCCTACCCTGCCCTGCCCTGCCTGGAGCAAGGGGCGGAGGCAGTAGAACGCCATGCCAGAGCTGGGGATGGGGCAGCTGGAGGCAGTGGCCCCTTCCCAGGACTGCAGCCCTGGTTAGGGACATCGGTGTTGCTGGGAGAAATGGGGACCGTGTGAGGCCAGAGGGGCCAGTTAAGGCACTTGCCTTGCATGCGGCCAACCCCTGCGCCGCGTATGGTGCCCCATGCTTGGCCAGGAGCGACCCTGAGCACCACTGGTGTGTACGAAGACCTCAGGGGTTCCTCTGGGCAGAGAACAAACATCTCTCCCAGCCGCTCAGCAGTGAGGGCTGCTCCCCCAACCCACCAGGCTCTAGGTCCCTCTTTCCACCAGCGCCCGCCCCCCTGCCCCTGCCTGGGACAGGATAGAGTCTGCCATCACATGCAGGACATTCGCACATTTTTACTTCTTGCAAGGTTTGGCACAGAGCCGAACCAGCAGCCTTCACCAGATCCCAGGCGGCTGCTCTGGGACCTGGGACTGGGTGGGGAGGCTGGAATTTGGACAAGTTCAGCAAGAAGAGAGTCCGCCTGCGTAGACACGTCTGCTCCCCCTCTCCCGAGCATTCATGATGACCGAGAGGCAGCAGCACAGCTGAAGATGCACACACACACACAACAGGCATGCAGACACACACACGCAAGCACGCATGCGTGCACACACATGCATGCACACGCACACACATGCATGCACACACACACAGGCAGTCTCATGTGCATGTCTGAGCACAGCCCAGCCACTTCCCACTCTGCACTGGGCCGAGGAGACAGGCTGCTCAGGTCTCCTCCATCCCCGCCATCTGCAGTGGAGAGAACACGGGCTTTTTCATTCCAAGCTCCCCTCCAAGCTACTTCATAGGACAAGCCCAGACTAAACTGAGGACATTTTCTGGGTGTGGGTCCGGGAAGCTGCAGGGGATGGGGGGGTCCCAGGGAGAAGGCGGAGGTGACCCCTGGATCCGGTGCCACCAGCACCCCTCTCGGCCCCTGAACTCCTGGTATCTGTGCCCAGTTTCCACTCTATGTCTACCGAGCAGGATTCGGCCCGCTGAGCTGGGGTTCACGGCTGGCCCTGCCCTTGGCTGAGCCCCCTTTTGAATCAGAAGGCTGGCGGGGGGCTCTCAGGACTCTAGTTGGGGTGTCTTGGGGTGCACTCATGGTTCTCAGGACACTGACCCTCCCCTAACTCTCATCCTGGTTCCAAGGAGACCAGCAGCTCAGCTCAGGCCGGCCAGCCAACCCTTGGCGACCACTGCCAGGTAAGAAGCAGGCTGAGGTCAGCGAGGGAGCCGGATGGAGGCTTGTTTGCTGTCTCTTAGACCAGCGGCTCCCCCATCCTGACCTTCTTCCCTGGGGTGTGCTGGGAGGGTCCCCAAGCCCAGCTCCATCAGTTCAGTGCCCAGGTGCGAGGGCAACAAGTCAGGCCCGAAGTGCTCGGTCATGTCACAGAGCACTGGAGCATTAGTCACTGAGATTTCCAGCCTCTTCTTGGGATTCCCCCATCCAGAGCTGAGTGACGAGTGGGCAGTGTGCCTGCCCCTTACATGCAGGGCTCCACTGGACACCACCCGCGAGCAGGACCGGGGCAGGACCTGGCCCCGGGTCTAGGCCCCCCACAGAGCAGCCTTCCCCCACCTCCTCATTCTCACGCAGAAACAGTCACAGCACACTGGGAACTCCCCACAGGGCGGCTTCTCATCTGGCTTTATTGGGAGGATAGCAGGTCGGGGCATGGCAGGGTGGGGGGACCCTGGAGGGTGGCTCAGGCCATCTCAGGGGGCCGCGTGGCTTCGGCCTCTGGGGTGGAGTCCCAGATCCCAGTAAACTTGCCCTTGAGCGTGCTCCAGTAGCCATGCAGGGAGCTCAGGCCGCCAGACATCCAGCCCCTGGGGGAGCAATCGAGAGCGGAGGGTAAGAGCACATCTGCGGACCAGGCCGCCCACCACAACCCCCCAGGGACCCCGGAGGGGCCACGCCAGGCGGAGGTGGGAGAAGGGGCCCCGACACACATCCATCCCAGGTTGCCACGGGTTGGGGTGGCCCCCAGTCTAGACAGTCAGGAGAGGAGAGAGTGGGGAGACGTGCGCGGTGTTCGAGGGGACTGACCCCCCTCCCCCACCCCGGGGCCTGGTGGCTCTGCAGGGGTGCTGGAGGGAGGGAGACAGGCAGCAGAACCACCAGCCCCGCTGAGTCCTGGCCTGGGCCACCCACTCCTCACCGTTTCTGAGGACCAAGGCTGTGTGCAGACGTCTCTGGCCCGGAAAGGCCAGCCCAGGGTGGGGGTAGGGTGGGCCCAGAGGGACTCCCCAATGGGAGCATGGAGGTGAAGGGGGCCCCGTCCCAAGGAGCAGCCCCAGACAGACCAGAGCCCCAGGAGCTGTGGCCTGGGCGGAGTCCGACCCTCCACCCCCTCCACTCCCCTGCCAGGGCTGCAGGAGGCGGGCAGTACCTGGCCTGCTGAGCCACTTGGGAGTCCTGCACGCTGGTCAGTGCGTGGTGGACGTAGCCCTGCATGTAGCCCAGCAGGGATGTGTCGTCATCATCCTGCGCCCCTGGGGTGAAGAGAGCAAGGCTGAGGGTGGGAGGCCCCGGCAGGGCCACGAGAACCCCTCCCCAAACCACCTCCCAGTGGCCCCCAGCCCAAGTCCCTGAAGCTACTTACGGGCACAGGCCAGAAGCGCCAGTAGGGCGGCAAGAAGAAGGACCCGGGGCTGCATGACACCTCCGTCCCTGCAGCGACACGGGCCGTGAGTGGGACCCTGTGGCCCCCAGCCCCCCGCCTCGCTGGGGAACTTAGAAGTGAGATCAGGGGCTGGAGCGATAGCACAGCGGGTAGAACGTTTGCCTGGCACGCGACCAGCCCGGGTTCTATTCCCAGCATCCCATATGGTCCCCCGAGCACTGCCAGGATTAATTCCTGAGTGCATGAGCCAGGAGTAACCCCTGTGCATCTCTGGGTATGACCCAAAAAGCAAAAAAAAAAAAAAAAAATGTGAGATCAGACCGGGGAGGAGTAAGGCTGTGGTCACAGGAGGACCCAGGCCCAGAGGGAGGGAGGGGAGGCTGGGGTAGTCCCCTAGAGCGACTGTCTTCAGCCAACCCCTTTCTGGGCTAAGGTTTAGCTCTGGGGTAGAATTAAGGCATCTCAGGCTTCCTCCAGCTCTGGACAGACGGAACAAAGGAGTATGCAGACCTCGAGCCCCTTCTAATCCCAGCTCGGAGACCCCCCCCCCCCCAGGGCTCAGGGCATGACCTCCGCTCTGTGGGCCTCAGTTTCCCTCAGTATGAATCCGAGGTGGGGGACACCCAGCCCCAGGGCTGCCCTGGCTTGAGCAAGTGCTTCTCCAGGCTTGGCTGCTGGGTCAGTGGGGGGACCCGCCCCTGTGCACCCTCTCCTGCTCTCCTCTCTCCCTGCCCCCCCTTCCCCACCGGGCATTACCTGGAGCAGCTCAGATGAACTGGGAGACAGACGAGAGGGCTCGGGCCTGTTTTATATTGTCCTCTGGGCAGCGGGCACCGAGGCCCAGTGAGCCGGGCAAAGGTCGCCCGCTGATTGGCTTAGGCCAGGGCCAGAAGGCCAGAGGCAGCCGGGCCCAAGGGAGAGTTGGGAAACGCGGTGGGTGCCCACTGCCATCCCTGTGGCCCAGCACTCAGGGATGGGGACCCCAGGGAGAGACCAGGGGATGGGACAGGGACTTAAGGGAGCCACAGGGGCTCAGGGTCCACCTCGACCTTTTACACCTGGTCCTCAAAACCACCCTGCCACCAGGCCCCCCCAGAAGTCTCCAAGTGGGAAATGCTGGGGCGACCTCAGACTTGAGAACAGCACAGTGGGTTGGAAGGGGGAGTTCGGACAGAAGCCCCAGAACACCCTGGGCAGAGGCTTGTACAAGTAGGTCTCTCTCTCTCTCTCTCTCTCTCTCTCTCTCTCTCTCTCTCTCTCTCCTCTCACACACACACAAACACATGCATGCACACATGCACGCACATACACACTTGCACACACATATGCATACACACACACGCACACGCACACACACATGCACACATGTACATTCATGCACACACAGACGCACGCATACACACACATGCACACACGCTCATACACACACATGCATGCACACACATGCACACATGCACATGCACACGCACAATGCCTGCACGCACCACACACATACATACACATACACATTCACGCACATACACACATACACACGCATGCACGCATGCACACACATGCATGCACACATGCACACATATGCACATACATGCACAAGGCACGCACACACGTGTGCACACACATTTGCATGTGCACACACACACTAACGCACACACACATACATGCATGCACACACACGCGCATGCGTGCACACACACACGCACGTACGCACACTCCCCCAGTCCCTCCATGGCTGGACTTTATTCCTGCCCGCTGGTTACCCTGAAATCTCTGTCAGCTGCACCCAGGGCAAGGGTTGGTGGGAGAAGGACAAAGGCCTCTGTGAGCCTTGTCCCCTCCCCACCCTGTTCACCTCTGGACTCGGCAGTTACACCCCGGCAGTCACGGGCTTCAGGCCTGAGCCGCTGTGGAAGGAACCAAGGTGCTGGCAGGTCCCGTGAGCTGGGGAGAGACAGCAGGACCCTCTGTGTAGTGCTTGCCTTTGGGGAGAGGCCTGGGGCCCTTAGGATGTCGGTGTGTCCTCTGGCTGGTACTGAACACCACTGCGGCATGGCCAGATTGGGGCGGGGCTTTGTACTCTGGATGCAAAGACTTTGGTGTCAGAGAAGCCTCCACTTGGTGCCCAGGCTTGGCACACAGGATTGCATTCCTCCCGAGCACTGCAGAGAGCAGCCCCCTTAGCCCCCAGCAAAGAAATCCTTGCTCTCCTCTCAGTGATGCCTCTGACATTTCCTCCTCTGTGCTGGGCCCTGGTGGGAGCTGGATCTCTCCCGTTCGTGGGGCTGGACAGGACGTGTCTGAATGAGTGGGGCTGGGGGGTGGGCCAGGAGGAGGCGGGCAGATCACTGGCTCAAGGAGCCCCCTTCCCCAGACAGCAGTCTTAAGGGAAGAGCAGTCCCATGCGCAGAAACCGCGGAGTGAACCCAACAAAGCGGCCCGGCCCACATTCTGAATTCTGCAACTAGAGCAGAGACTTGGGCTTCTTTCATTCATGAGACATTCCTTTGGCTGCGACTTGGCTTTCTGTGACCAGGCAGATTCCTGTAAGCCGGTGTCGCTAAGCCCATTCTATCTGCTGGGGAGAGGTTGGTCACCTTTGTGATGCCTGGGGGTTGCTCCCATGTCTGTGCTCGGGGGTCACTCCCGTGTCCCTCTCAGTAGTGCTCAGGAGCCAGGGAGTGCCGGGGATTGAACCAGCATCGACCACATGTAAGGCAAGCGCCTTGACCCCTGTACTATCTCTCGGGCCCACTAACCCCATTTCTGTGGTGAGCAACTTAAGACGTAGAGGGGTGGAGGCCGGGTGCTCCGAGCTCCTCGGTGATAAAGCTGGTACCAGACCTGGCTCAAGGACAGTTCCTTGAGGAAATAGCAGTCATTCTCACCTTAGTGTAAATCAGTTTTAATCAGGGCTGGAAAAATAGGACAGTGGGCAGAGCACTTGCCTTGCATGCAGCATACCCCATTTAGTCCCTCTAACCCCATCTGGTCCTTGAGCCTGCCAGGAGTGATCCCTGAGTCCAGAGTCAGGAGTCAACCCTGAGCACAGAGCCAGGAGCCAGAGCTGAGCACCACCACCACCAGTGTGTCCTCCCGAGCCAACAACAAAATCGGTTTCAAATCCCAAATTTTTAATTTTTTGTCTTTAAGTGAAGTAAGAGAGTTTTTATGAAATGAAACTTATTTGGAAAGATGTGGAAAGAGAGAACGAGAGAAGTGTATGTTCGAACCCCGGTTGCCTACATGGTCCCCTGAAGCACAGCCAGGAGTGATTCCTGAGTGCAGAGCCAGGTGTAACCCCTGAGCATTGCCAGGCGTGGCCCCCACCCCACACAAAAATGAGTGAATCACACAGTGTCCAATTCAATGAATAAACAAGTGAGCTGTCCCCTCTCCTCCCCCCACCCGCCCCGTGCTCTGGGGTGCGGCCAGCTGCCCCCTTGACTCTGCTGAGTTCCGTGTCCTGTGTCTGTGTGGTCTGTACCCCCTGAGCCTGGGAACAGGTCCCCGCGGAACACAGATGGGAACAGGGGAAGGGACTTACTCGGTCACCCCCTGCCTGCTTGTGAGTCTGGGACTGGCCCCTGGCTCGGGCCCCTCCCACACCATCTCCCACCGCCCCAGAGTGTCAGCAAGCCGACTGCAGGCCACACACAGCACATTCCGACTGGCCTGGGCTATCAGACGCTGACTTCCTGCCCAGCACACGGCTGTTTCCACTTTCAGATTCCTAGAAAGTAGCCTGCGGGCTCTGGAGCACTCCGCATCCCTACAGGGAGTTCACTGTGACTGAGAGGGTGGGCCCACACAGGCAGCAGCAATGCCTGAGCTGCAGAGTCCCCATGCTGCCCATCGCGGGGGTCCAGCCCCTCGGAGCGGGGGGGGGGCAGGGAGACTCTGCACCCGCCATGCAGCTCGACCCCTGCTGCTCAGACAGTGATTCTAAGAAGCCGCAGCCACTCATCGGTGACTCACTGGCCCACTCGCTGCGCCCAGTGCCCAGGACTGACCTTTGAGCTGTCCTGGCTGAACGGGGGAGCAAGGCAGAGGGCCAGGGAGGTAGGGGAATACCAGACGAGGGTGCCCGCGACTCACAGTCGGACCAACACACGGAGCCTCCCTGGCCAGAGGCAGATCAGCAGCTCTGTGTTCTCTGGGCCACGGAAGCTCAGAGAGGTCAAGAGACTTGCCCAGGGTCACACAGAAAGTGAGAACTCCAGACGCAGCACTGGGGAGCTTGCCCCCAAGGTCTGCACTGGCTCCTCTGGCCCCTCTAGTACTGCTTGCGGGCTACCAGGGCTGGACCCTTCTGTGCTTGGGATGGGGGTGGGGGGGGGTGACAGTGGCTTGTAATTCCAGGGATTTGACTCTTGGCCTCTTGCATACGAGGCACATGCTCTACCCTTCGGAGCCATCTCCCAGCTCCCAGAACCCAAGAATCTAAACTTTTTATTTGGGGGAGTGTTCAGGGATCAACACCTCTAGCCCCCAGGATCTGAGCTGTTTTGGGGGGGGTGAGACACACTGGACAGTGCTCAGGGGACCCTGTGTGGTGCCGGGGATGGAACCGGGGTCACCCACGTGCAGCCCCAGACATTCAGGGTCTTCAGTGAGGGCCGTGCTCTCGGCCACCTCTGCCAGGAGGAAGGGGCCCCCAGCACCAGGGCCAGGATGTGGGGGTCCCTGCAGGTGTGGGATCCCTGCAGAGGGAGGAGAGCACGGGCATCAGGACCCCATTAAGTTGCCTTCGAGCCCAGTTGATCTCTAGCCCCCCAACAGTGGCCCGTCCTGCTGGCAGGGGTGGGGAGCCATGTGCTGGGCCCTCACCCTGGGGTGCACGTCACCCCATGTTCACGCGAGCGGCTGGGGCCAGCAGAACCTCCCCCCCTCAGCTCTGTCAGGCTGTGTCATCCTGGGGGCGCACGGCCTTGGTGATGGTGGGGTCGTTTCCTTGGGAGAAGCCAGAAGGCTGGGTTGTGGGACAACCCTCCATCCACCCGACCCCCCAGGAGACCCCTGAGAGCTGGAAGGGCAGCTGGTAGGGGGGGCTCAGGCTGATCTTCCGTGTCACTCCACTCCCCCAGAAGGAGAGTCTGACTTTCTCCTCTGTGCTTTAGCCCAAACCTGGAAAACAAGAATGTTATTATTATTGGTGGTGGTGGTTTGGGGGCTGTTCCTCCCCCCCGCCTGGGAATTTCTCTGGGCTCAGTGCTCAGAGGATCATGCAGTGCCAGGAGAGTAAGCCTGCCAGCGAACCACATCCAGGCCTGGAAAGAACATTTCGAGCAACATCTGAGGCCCCTGGGTCCCGTGAGGGCTCATCCGACAAGTGACATCTTGCTGTTTTGAATCATTTGTTTTGATTGGCTGCCACGCCTAGTGGTGCTCAGGGCTTACTCCTGGCTCTGTGCTGTGGGGTCACTCCTGACAGGGTTCAAGGGACTATATAGGGTACCAGGGATTCAACCCTGATCAGCCCCGTCCAAGGCAAGTGTCCATCATACTATCATTTCAGCCCCAGACATCTTGCTTTTCTCAAGGAGAAACTGGGGTTTGGAGCTGGGTCACGTGGAGCCCCGACCCCAGATTCACTGAGCATGAAGTTCCCAACCCAGAGCCCCCACCACCCCACTCCTGGGTGCCTCTGGACCTCAGCCACCCACCCCCACCCACTCCCCATGTGTGTGTGTGGTGTCAAGTCTGACCTTAGAGACAGAGTGGAAGAGATGTGAGGATGAAGGCCCCCCGGGCAGAGAGGGGAGCTGTGACCTTTGTCCCCCGCCTGGTGTGGGGCCTCCTGGAATATCAGTGGGAGACTAGGGG